GGTCGTACAGATGGAGACGGGCATCACTCTTCACACCAGGTTGGGGAACCTATTAGTCGCACGCTGAGAGACGGCTGCCTGCTCGGCGTCACGCACAATATTCTGCATGTCACTGCTGCGGAAATGTTTTCTGTCAATCCATCTCGATCATTTTGTTTTCATCAGTTCAACCATTTTCAGTCCAATTTGTCATAAAGGACACAAACATCTCATCGGTCATGACTCAAAAGTTGATATTGCCGGGCGGATGCGTTAGAGGGCGGGGCCTCTGAGCTCCTCCCGCGCGTGCAGTTTTCGCACACATTTCTCAGAGCTGCTTCCTTTTTCCACTCTCTCGCTCTTCCTGTCAGAGCAGCAGATGGTTGGCTGAAGAAAGAGCAACAGAGTGAGCGGAGGAAGGTCTCCTCACCCAGGGAGTGCTGTCACTCATCTCCAGTCTCTGTGACAACCGGCATCTCGTCCCGGCATTCCGTCCCTCCTCACCTGTCTCCACATTAACAAATAGAAGTCTGTTAAATAACGTAGGGGACGCCTTGGAAGAGATGATTTTAAACGCTCTCGAGAAGATTGATATCTTATATCAGATCTGTGTATAAAGTCTACTCTAATACTCTAAATACCACATGGATGAATAAATAATGGTCCAGCTAACACATATGAAAGCTATGTGATATGAATTACTGTAGTGATTGAGAGTCCAAACTTCTTCACATTTACCCTTTAAATAAGAGAGGAGGAAAGCGTTGAAAGCAACACAACATTTCAAATCCGTCAGTGCCAAATATTGCATTCATTCCCAAGTGCTGCACTGCTCCGCCTTACAGCTGGAACAGGACAAAGACCTGCTGACATCTGCATGCTAGCGCGCTCACGGAGACAATGCTCACATGCAGATGGACGTTGAGCAGGCACAGCGTTCCCAGAACGCCCACCTGCTGCGCAAAGTTTAGCGTTGTAACACTTGTTTATTAAATGGAAAAGAGGATGACGGTGCCAGAGAAACAGCTGCTACTATATTTCAGTTGGAGACCAATGAACCGAGCAATATTGCCGTTCACAGATTCCCTCGCTAGAAATGATATGACTCTTTGTGCTTTTACTCGACTGTCTTATCATCGGCAATTTCTGCTTCTTTCACATGAGATTACTTCATCGTTTGTGTCGTTAAGTCTGATTTGCCAAATAGATGTCATAATTTCCTCTGTAGTGAAAAACTCTCCTTTGTGAGTTTCTTAATTTCCCATCTCGTTTCCTCTTTTCCACCATTCTCTCCACCTTCTCTCGGAACACGGACGGTAAAAGGACGAACCTGTCCTCTCTCTTTGTCCCTGAGTAGACACCGATAGGGCGTGAGTCTCTCTCATCTGGGCCTCCAAACCTATTGAGGAAGACAAGGTCGTTTTTGAGAGGTTTGTTCATTTCTGTCCCCTCTCCAATCACTCCACCCAGCTGCGGTCTCCTCCATCCCCCTTTCATGTAGGTCTGCTCCGTCACCGTCCTCTGTCCTCCGTCCTCCTGGTCTCCTGGTCCTCCTGGTCCTCCTTGTCCTCTTGCTATTTCATCAGCTTTTTTTGATTCCTGGAAGGTGTCCTTTTTTAAACTATGGTTTATGTTTCATTTGTCCAAACTGTGATTCAAAACTATACTACCGAAAATATGAGATATCTGTCAATCAGGTTCCCTGGTTCCTCTCTCTCCCGGGCCTCCATGAATACTGTCTGCAGAGCTCCTCTCATCCTCTTGCTTTTTCGAGTGCTTCAAAGAAGTCGTCCAGGCTGCCATCCTCTCCTCTCCATCTCTCCTATTTCCCGATTCTGCTTGAAACCAGGCAGTTGATCTCCTGCCATCACTTCTCTTTCTCTGCCGATCGAGCTCCTCTGTGGCAGGATTCTATTTCTTTTTTACGTTAATATGGCTGCAACAGGTTCAGGTTTGCGCTAGCCTAATATCTTATTAGGAGCACAAATTAAAGGCAGGGATATTTAGGAACTTCCTTGATGTTCAATGACTGATCTTGTATCCAAATATGTATTAAATCTCTTTATTCAACATCAAAACACTAAACTGCAAAAGCCTTCACCATCAAAGTATGTCCCTCTTTTTACCTTCTCTCTCGTCCTCAGAGCCTGTTTCATGTGTCCATCTGCTGTAATCGTCCCCCACGACCCCATGACTTTATCAGAAGCGACTGCGAGGCAATTAGGTCACACAGCCGCTGGTGTGTTGAGTGTTTCCGACCAGATGATCGATGATCCTATTTGTCACAGCCTCAAAAAACATCAACGAGCTATTCATCATTACTGTGTGTGTGTGTGTGTGTGTGTGTGTGTGTGTGTGTGTGTGTGTGTGTGTGTGTGTGTGTGTGGCTCTGTTGGTGAATTGTGTATATGTCAAAGGGAAACTCCACAGACAGGACGCATCAGTTATAAAGTACTGCATTAAACTTCAAAGTATTTCTCCATTACTTTCTTGGACAATGTGATGGTTTGAAGCTCTCATGAAGATCCCCCATTAGACCTCGCACATCACGTCCATTATCTGCACCGGAGGAAGCCGATCCATATGTAAGTGGACCAGTGAAAACGGGGTCTGCCTCCTCTTACCGCATTAGCTCACTAGCATCCCTAATTTGCCCCAGACGGGCTAATGGTACGTTGTTGTTCACGAGGGCGATGCACTCTTTCCAATACACAGAGGTTAAAAGGAAGCGTTGCTGGGCGACGGGCCGGGGGGAGGCTGAGGGGGGTGAGCAGGAAACAGCACAAGGTTTAAGACACATGCAGGGCCGGAAACCAGTAGGGTAGATTTAGATTTAACAGCATTCAGAATGTAGAAATATTGTTACTGATTAAATATTCACAATATTAAACCGCAGGCGGTTTTCAAATTAAAAGTGGCAGCCTCACGCCGCTGCCAGTAGTGATAAAATAACCAATCGCTTCGCTGACAACCTAATCAATCATTCATTCAAGGACCCAAAAAAAAGGCTGTGGGAAAATGACAGCAAAGTCATTCAATGTTGTTCAAATCAAGCTGCTACGGTTTTATCTGAGCATGTGGGTGGAGGTGAGTCACAAATATGTTTGGCCTCCTCAAATTTTAGTCCACTTACAAGTACACAGCAAAAAATAACCGGGGGCTTTTTATTGTGAATTCAGAGGAAATTAAATGTGTTAAACGACGGTCTCACAGACACCAACTGTGAAATCTGTCTGATCAACGCGGACCAGGCAGGTAGCATCGAAGTGCATCGTTTAGAGGTGTCTTAACGTCCTATCACACCGGGGAGGGCGAGAGACGAGGCTATTGTAAGGGACTACTGATAAACACGTAATTGTTTTTGTTTCGTTAATCATGCTGCGCACCTAGAGTAATAACACTTAATGAACTCAGCTGAGAGTTCAATAAGGGATGGGGGGGGGGGGGGGGGGGGGGTGGAGGAGTCAACACATTCCTGTTGGAGACGGCATCGCATCCCTTCATCACATCCCTCTCACCTGACCGCCTCGTTGGCTAATGTGCTGCTCTGAGGAAGCAAGTATGACACACACACACGCGCAGTTCTTTATGTTGCCTTGAGACGCGCATATCTATTCTGTCTCACACAAACACACAGATACACACAACCCTGTCTAATTACAAGCATTTGCGGCGTTATTACTCCTGCCGTAGCCATCAATCTCCTCCTATCTCATCTTGTCCTTCCTCCTTCCTCCTCCTGCTCTTTCTCTTGTGTAATTTATACTTTCTTCCCCTTTTCTCTAAACCAACCTTCCATGTGTCCTCCCCTCGAGTGTCCCTCCCCATTCCCCAGACAGACGTTCTAACAGGGAATGGCCATTGATTGAACCCTCTCTCCTCCATCTCTGCATGCCGATTTCCTCAAAGACAAGAACACTGGCTGTCTCTTAGCTTCCGTCCTTCTGGCCTCCTTTGATTAACCTCGTTATGTCTCTTAGCTCATGGCTTTTACTTCTACGTCTCTCTCCGTCTAACTGTCCTGGGTTCATGTGTATTGATCCGGTTCTTAGCCAGTCGTCGCTCAGTGAGGCAGCAGCGCTGATGTGCAGGAGGACGCAGGTTTTAGGTTATTCAAGTTTCATAATCCACATCGGTGTGAGAGAGAGCTAAGTGGCATGTGTCACGATTGGAAGCAAAGTATCTTGACTTTACGCTGCCTTTCAGACAGAGGTGCCACAAGCGAATGTTACCCTCTTATCTTCTCCCTTCCGTCTCGCTTTTGCTCAGCGGGGGTCTGACTACAAACGTCCATCAGCAAACACAATTCTTTCCCCCTTAGAAGTACTTATTTTCGCTTCTGTAAACTTTGGCCCAGAACTGAAAATACCTTCCGTACTGTAGATGAAAGAGGCAAAGGCTTATTTGACTCCAGCCATTTAAAGTTTCTCATTTTCTTTTTTAAAGTTTAAATACGTAAATAGAGTCCCCTTCCGTCGGCCTCTCCTCCATCTGAGTGCCTCCCGATCCTCTCTTCTCCCTTTAGTCCCAATCCTTCTCTCCTGATGGGTCATTAACTATTCAACACCAGATAGAAGAAGGCCGCTCTGTAAGGGCTTGTGTCTAGTTTGCGATAATATATGGACATTGGGGGGGGTGACAACAGAGGGAGAGCAGGGGAGGAGGGTGCGCACTTTTTTTTTAATGGTAAGTGGAAGTCAGTGGACGAAGAGAGAGAAGTTGTGGGATGAAGCAAACTAAGATTAGCATTAGAGAAGAGAGATGGCGATTTACTTTGAAATCTTCAAAACAGAATTTAACCGGCTGTTTTATCTGCATCGTCAGTTTGCATCCGGAAGGCAGAATTCAATTTATTGGACATTGCCTCCGTCTAGTGGCCATAGATGAAACCGGAGTGTATATTAGTTACTGCTATATGGGGGGAAATTAAAAATTAATTTAAAAAAATGCATTAAATCAGTTGATCGGTCAGCAGAGTTCACCTTCAACCCTCACGTAGGCCTCCGTTTGTCCGCCTTCAGACTCTCTGATGTTGGGAACGGAGGTGGACCTGCAGCAGGTGGAGAACAGCGTGTTTACCATGGAGATGGTGTTGAAGGCGTGGCTTCAAGAGCAGGGGGGGGACAGAGAGCACGTCCACCTCCTGCTGCCCGGCCCCCAAGACGACCCCGTTCCAGGTGCACCCGCCGCCACACAGACAGGCGCGGCAAAAGCTGGCGTCCCTGCATACTCACCGTGACATCTGTCTCCCCCCTGTGTAAGTGTGTGTGAAGTGTGACATGCAGGAGCGACTGATAAGCCCCGCCCTCATCCCCCTGAGCCCCAACCTGGGGGTGAACACCGAGAGCGTCCGGGACTTCCTGCCTCTTGAGAAAGGATCAGCCAATCAGGGCCAACAGAGACTGAAAGCAATCAAGTAAGATGGGGGGGTTAACCAGTTAGAGGGCATTTCCCTTAAAGAAGACGCTTTTGTGGAACCTTTGGCGCATGTTTGAGCCCAACATGATTTCATCATGATCATTTGGCATAATCGTTGAGTAGTCATGCAGTTGTTTCTGAGACAAGATCAACATGTTTATTCAATGTTGCGATATGATGTCGACCTTCAACATTCGTCCAGTCACATACGTGCATCCCTGTCTCTTACGTTGTTGTAGTGAGGGAGAGATGAAGTGTGTGTGTGTGTGTGTGTGTGTGTGTGTGTGTGTGTGTGTATGTGTGCCTATGTGTGCATGCTCCGTCAGCCCCGTGTGTGTCATGTCCAGTAAGACCCTGCCTGTCTATGAATGGCTCCATTCTGACAGCGCGGCCTCGTGGAATATTTCTGAGATGAAACTCTCCCATCACATCAGAGTCGGCTTTGTTCTGCTCCCATTCTGGAAAAAAAACTTCAAACCACTACAGCTGGGCCCAAAACTGTCTCCAATCCTAAAAGCATTTTTGTTAATTTGTCAGCGAGGAATGTTTCATACAGTCGACACTCATGGGACGTGTTCACTATTGTAAACAAGGGAAAGACAGGGCATATAAGCATACGGTACTATTATTTTTCATTATATTTCCTTACAAGCTTGCTACGAATGCAGCAGTTTTAAATGGCTCCGACTTTAGTTCATTTCAGTGACTATTTGGATTGTTATTTCCAGTTCCTTTTTTTTAAACAATCAACACATTATAACAATACATGCACACAAACGTCCGTGTGATTGCAACATGATGACAATACAAAACAGACTAGAACAAGATCCTCGCTAAGTAGCCCACCCAACCATTGGAGAAGAAAAGGGACCTCAATGAAACTTAGGCTGCAGCGATGACCACAAGCTCAAGTTTAGTCATCTCTTATGAAGAGATATTGATCATAATTTAACATATCTTACAAGTAGGCAGAAATGCATTAAGCCAGTATGGGAAAATCTAAAAGCTACGTAGCCAGTAGAACCAAGTGTATTGAGTCAAAATAAATTAGTTTATTTGTGTATGTGTTTTGCATACCGGTCGGCCCGAAGGTTATTGTGCCTTGTGTGTGTGTGTGTGTGTGTGTGTGTGTGTGTGTGCTTTACATAATGATGAGTCACAGCGGGATGTAAATGAAGCTGGAGGCAGGTCACTCTGCCAACAAATTCATCCTTGTCGGGGATGATGTCATCCTCTGTCTCTGCGCTCTTGATGGTTTGTTGCGTGTTTAAAAACACAGTGTTCTGCTACAATAACTCATCCGGAAGTTTAGAGAAGACTGGCGACGTCTTCGTGGACATAATATGTGACACTTGCAGTGGACACACCCGATGAACCAGTCTACTAAGTGTGTTTTTGATGATTCTGAATGAAAGTTTCTGTGGAGAAAAGGTGTCTGTCCTTTATTTTCGAGCTGCATGCTGACCAAGGTTGTGTGTGTGTGTGTGTGTGTGTGTGTGTGTGTGTGTGTGTGTGTGTGTGTGTGTGTGTGTGTGTGTGTGTGTGTGTGTGTGTGTGTTTTAGGACTCTGCGAGCAGACGGAGTGTGTGAGAGCGTGTTGTACGGCCTGCCGCTGGTGCTCCGCCCCACCGCCTGCTGGCAGCTGGACTGGGATGAGATGGAAACAAACCACAACTTGTTCCACGCTCTCTGCCACACTCTCAGGGTCACATTCACTTACTTGACAATTCAGAGTGTATCAAGCAGGTTCTTCGTTACTGGGATTAATCATTACTCTAGTATTTGATGTTGCATTGGTTTCCTCCTCCTTCAGAGCCGGGACCTGTTCCTGTTGCTTCAGGTGGAACCTGCACAGAGATCTACAGCTGGAGGCTCAGGTCCATGTGTGTGTGTGTGTGTGTGTGAGAGTAATGTGATTTATCAGTCCTCTTGAATGCACTAACATGCCCAGTGTGCCTGTTTACAGGTGTGTACTCCCACTACGTCCTGCAGCCATCCCCCTCCCTCTCCCTCCTTCTGAAGCCTGTGGCCTCCAGGGAGCTGCTGCTGCCCTGCTCTCTACCCGTCTCCACTCAGGAAGCTGCACCCGATGCCCTGCACACCATACAGGTGGAGCGGGGACCCTTTGGGCCTCACAAACAAAATACAACAGCCACGACTCGATAGCTCGAGCAGGTGGCGGGAGAGCCGCTGATCCTCCCTTGCGACCCCCAGCTGACGTGTGTTGAGCCACTGCGCTGAGCCTTTTCCTTTGGCTCCACCTCCTGGTGCTTGTGATAACAAATCACAAAGGTTTTTTTCTTTGCTGATTCAATATTTGCTCTTTTGAGAGACATTTTAAGAAGTGATTTCAAGATCATTTGTGAATAATATCAGAATCATATTGGACTTAGAATTACTCGTCCGGCTGTTGTTGTGTATCATGTACACAATGGACAGGATGCGTAGGCTTGTGCGCAGCTCCTTGTCATTTTGAGAGTTCAAGCAGAGTTCGAGAGCTGTATTTGCCCGTTGCTGAGGTGTAAACAGCGTGCACACATTGAAATGACCGTCTTCCGTCTGTTCTTCCCTCCGTCAGGGCTGTCTCACTCAGCTGGATGAGGAGTGTGTGTTCAACCCTCTCGCTCTGAGCAGCAACTTGTACCGGCACCTGAGGAGCAGAGGCCTGCTCTCACAGCCACGATACCCGTACAGGTCAGAGCGATAATGTGCCGCCCTGGTGCTGTTGTTACAACAGTGGAATGCTTTGCAATGTAGAGGTCCGTGCTGACGGGATGTCGATGATGGTTGATTCCAGGCTGCAGCCAGCGGGCGCCCGCAGATACCAGCGTCCACCACTAGAGGGCCCTGAAACCACAGCCAGCAGGCCGCCGCGGCAGGTAGGCCCCTCGGCTTTATGGCAGTGTGAGGCTCCCGGTGCTGATCACAGAAAACGTGCCCGAGGATTGTGACCCTGAGTACTTCTGGAGAAAGAACCCCCCTTTTATCTTTTACTACATTGATGCTATCAATCCAGATGCACATACTGTACTGCAGTACAGTATACAGCAGGATACTAGTTTTTACCAAACGTTCCCAACCTATTACTCGGGTCCAGTTGTGAACAGTTGTGATTATTAATGGGACAGGAAAGAAATATCTATATTTTATCATCATCTTTTGGACTTCTCTCAGATCTTTCCCTTTTTGGGTAAAATATTGGATCATTTAAGCAGTTGAAACATAAAAGCCAGAGATGTTTAAACTTGGAAGTGTCTAACCAACATTTATATGAGAGGTCATAAGCTGAAAACGTCAGGTTAATCTAAATTATTTTTTCTCTTAGGTGAAAATGTATTCCGAAACATAACCAGTGAGTAAAACTGTCTAATAAATAAATTGGTATAACACCTCATTTAGGATTGTAATGGCAGAGAGGATTCTGCAAGTAAAGTACCTTAATTATTAAGCACAGTATTGGATCGAATGCACATCGTTGTACTCCACTTGTACACCTCATGGCTATAATACAGGGAGAGATTAGATGATCCTTTCGGGTCAAACAACTACTGTGTGTCTTTGGCAGAAACAGATCATGTTGTGATTGTTTCTTTTGTTACATGTATCATAGTGACATTCGGATAAAAACATGCCAGTACTTGCTCATCTTCTAAAATGTTCTTAAAAAAAAATACATAATGTACTTCAATTCCACCACCTCGGTGTCGATTTCTACACATTGCGTCTCACTTTGAAAGCTCCCGACATAGAACTCTTCCTCATGCCGGTCACGCGAGGCCGACTGCGAGCAGCGTGTGCATTCGTTGGGCCGGTGACTCATCGGGGCGATAAGGCTGCTGACATGCAAATAGTTTGCCCCGGGCTGAACGCCCGCTGCTTTTGTCTCCCTGCAGTAGGACTTAAGTCGTTCCAGACTGTTTTGTACTTCCTGCCATTCCGTTCTCCTACTCCTGTCATTCTGCTTGTCTGTCTTATTAATCCAGAACTTGAACTATAACAGCTGTGTGTCGTCTCTACTCAGCCACAACACCACGGCCGCCAACTGGGAATGAACAGCAAGGCCAGGGCCACTGTGGCTCCGCTGCCCTCTTTATCCTCCTCCTCCTACTCCTCCATGGGACCTCCTCCTGCCAAGGCTCCTCGTCCGGCTCTGACGCTCCTCGGCAGCGGGGGCTGCGGCGGCAGTGGAAGCCGCCGGGCCCCGTCTCGACACGAGGAAGGCGATGATGATGATAATGATGACGACTCCATGGTAATGCAGTAAAAGAAACAAAGCTTTCTGAGAGAGCAGTTCGGTGACGGGGAGGTGACGGAGGGGGAGAGAAGAGGCGGTGTGCGGCGTCCCCAACGAGTCCTTTGACACACACTGAGATCCTGCAGCATCCTGATCTGACCAGTGAACCACAGTACATCTTAGTCAGCACACACACACACACACACACACACATGGCTAATCGGGCCCTAGTGCAGTTATTGAGTTATTAGACAGCACATTAAACTTTGGAGACTTTGTAAGGGGGGGAAGGACACATTTATCTCCATTCATTGTCACCACGCGGTGACGGTTTTCATATCTAATCTGAATTTCACAAAAAGAGTGCTGAAGCAGCAAAACTCCCACACACACACACACACACACACAACGTGAGCTATGAAAAAGGCGGGAGAAAAAAAATCAAAAGAGGAATATCAGGCAAGGAAAGTCAAAAGAAACAATGACAAAAAATAAAAAAGGGTGGGTGATGATGGAGATCAGAGGGAGATTAAAGGAGTCTTTTCTCCACGTCTCAGCACACCGGCGACCCCACTGAAACGTGCAGAATTGTGGTTGACAATAGTAAAGTGGACATACTGCAGCCGTAGAAGACAAACACACACATGTGCACATTCCATTTCCGCTGTGCCCTTGAGCTGAACACAGCCTCACTGTTTCTAAGGAGACAGAGAATAAAGCAGCAGACAGAGGGGCCTCTCTGCTCCCCTCCAGCCCCACAGCACGCTCTCTCGCCACGGGTAGAAAAGGCCGCGTGGATGGAAGGAGGACATATGGGGGGGGGAATTGACAAAAAGAAACTGCAACATGTTCGACAAAGTTCACACCCGATGGTGACAAAGACAGATTTCCGACACCGGTATCGCTCGGTCCATCGTCCCTGTTATGGATGTACTCCTCGTGGAGCGGCTTCTTTGGCTCACACGCGCTCACACGCAGGCCTAATTACCCCCCCCGTGGAACCTTCCGGCATCGAGGACTACCCGGTGGCAAATGGCTGCGTGGCGCGGTGATGTCACAGGACTTTCTCGTCCACAGCCACCCTTTTGTCCCCGATGAGGATTCCACCGGAACTTCCGAAGCCGCCCACTGACATCTTACCCGCTTCTGCCTTCGCCGTCCGCCCCCTCGCAGTTTTCTTTCTTTTTTTTTTTCGACCGTGGCGAGACGTTGAGCCGACGTGTGTGTGACTATTCATACGTTAGTTCAGACAACAGAAGCCTTTCTCTCTCTCACCAGAAAAGTAAAGGTCAAGAGGCAGAAGCCAGAGGTCGTCTTTGGCCACACTCCCCATCGTTAAATGTCACCGGACTGAGGAGGCGCAAGCAACTGTTCTCCAAAGTGTAAATGTGTTCAGAGAAGATCATTTCAGCGCCTCGCCAAGTTTTTGGCCCCAATTCGGCTGTTTATTTGCAGTTGAAGAAGGTTTCTTTGTTCCTTGTTGGTTTTGTGAACGCCACACAAACACCCTTATCTCACATCTCCTGCCGTTGACTCACTTGTGTTCCTGTTTCGGCTTCAGAGTTGTTTCTGATGACTGATTTCAATCCACTTGATAAAGGAAATCAAATCAAATGTCACTTATGTTCGTCTGTAGGTGTCATTTCAACATCCTGTAGGTTCTTTATATTTAGAGATGCATTTGTTGAACTTCTCTCAGATGTGTATCGCAACACTGTGTAGGAGCTCTTTGTTAATAAACTGCAACTAAGTATCATTCAGGTGGGAGGATTACGTCTGTTCTCATCTCTCGCACCCTTTAACACCCACTGGTCTGACAGCCGATTGACGAGATATGTATTGAAAGATCAGGCTCACCTTTGCAGATGCTGTGAAAACTTTCCGTCTTGAAAATAATTCATGCACAAGGCATGACAATGCATTTTTTTTCTTTCTTTTTTTTATTCAGACCAAACCCATCAAGCTCAAACTTCTTCTTTCTTCAACCCTCAACTAGAGATGAGGCGACGTTAAGAAGCGGCACATATTCTATTCGTTAAGTCTCACTAAATTGCCCTAATTGTTCAGGTGCTTTTGATGAGACGGTAACCATCTAACCACCTTTTACCACCCATTGCTCCACCCGCAGCCCACTGGCTCTATATAAAGCCTCCCCTGACTGCTTGTACCACGAGCATGTACATAAATATCACCACGCGTAGTCTCTTTTCGGAAGGGTGGCCCATTGTGTCCTCTGGCACGTTGCATACGTGGTGGCTATATTGAGTTTACGGCAGTTTCTTTGGTTTCTGTTTACCCTCAAAACATTATATATACATTCGTGTTAATGCCATGACCGGCAGCTAGTGGTGTGCATTCAACAGGAAATACTTGCTGAGGTTTTGATACACAATGAGCGTAGCGAGGTGACCTTTCGCTGAGGCTTTTCTGTCCCGCTCATAATGATGTATCGCAGTCAGCATGAACTTTTTGCTGATAAGCCACGTGTAGTTTTGTGGATGCACTTCTCGGCTTCCTGTTTCTTGGAGTGAAATGCATTCGGTTCAGTTCACTTTTCGAAACATTATATTTGCATTGTGTCTCAATGTACCATTAACTTCTAACCAAATAAAATAATCTCTGTCTCCCAAGCTGCAATAAACCGTCTCCTTTCTGTATTTGTCCTCAGTGGGCAACGGCACAGGACTCGCACAGGACTCGAGACTCACATGCAGGAGAACACAAGCAAAAGGCGAGTGAGAACAGAAAGAGGAAGTGCATCTTTGAGGGGAAGTGAAGAGGTTAGGTGAGCGGGGGTTTGCAGGACTTGAACCCTAACCCTGCACAGTTTTGGGAAGCTGAGACCAATCGGATTTGCTGATTTGCGGATTTGCTCTGAACAAATATGGAAATTTCACTGCTCACAGCTAGAAATAAAAGCTGGTGGTCCGCAGAGTCCAGAGGAAACAGGACAGATTCAGGTCTGAAGGCACCGCTTCCTATGCGCGCATCTCATATTTCCATGTGTACCTTCACGTTCAAATAGAAAGAGGAAATGCAGCTTGTGTGGGTTTTATATTCAGAAGTGCAGCTGGGTAGTAGATGTAGGGGGGGCGGGGATTCTCACAACATACAAGCTACGTGTGGTCCGTTTCTGAGTTTACCAGTTATGTAATGAAGTATCACATTAATACATGCAGCAGATGTCATTATGGTAACGACATCATCGAGTTATTGAGAATCTCACTTCTTTGATTTAGTTGTTGATGCTGGGTTTATATTAAAACTGCACCAATCTATCATTTCAAAAGCTGACAGTCGGGTTCACAGCACGTTTCGCTGCCACCTAAGCGGCCAAAAGGTCGAGTCGTGCAGGATCAAAGGCCTTTTGTCAAGCACGTTGGACAGTTTGGGTTTGTTCGCTCAGTGTGCCAACGCTATGGAAGTCACGCAAGCTGAGACAAAATGTTGTACTACTGGAATCTTGGTCCCCAGCATGTAGAGGACATTACGTCTCTGTGCGTCTCGTTGTTGGACTGAACCTGTTCTCTTTCAGCGAGTCTGAGCTTTAAAAAAGGAAGAGACAAAAAAGGAAGAGAGTGAGAGACCAAGCTGGGAACAAGATCACACAATGGTGAGGACAGACCGAGAAGAGGACAGGAAGGCTGTGAGGGTGTGTGTGTGTGCGGGTGGGTGGGTGACACGTCTGCTTGCAAGCATGCAGAGACCTCAATTCTGCAAATAAAACTTTCTGGCTAAATATAGCGGCGTGTGGCCAGAAGCGATACACGAACACGCACGCAGGGGGATCTGTGAAGCTATTGTGTCCATCTTGAGCTCTTGAAACTATTGTGAGGTTTCTGAAATGCTTTCGGTCTGAGACTCCTAACCTTGAGCACGCACACACACACACACACACACACAGGAACCCACACGTGGTGATATGGCAGCATGCATAGCAAAACACAAACCTTGACAAACCATAAACTGAACAAACTTGACAGCAGCAGGCTTTTTTTTTGTAGATTCTGCACGCTGTCACACATACCCACACACACGTATTCATCACTTTCAGGCAGTTAGTTGAGCTGTTGTGCAGATGCATAAAAGGTCAAAGCAGATGGGGAGCGAGATGTGAGGGAGGGAAGGAAGAAGGGAGGAGGTGACAGAAAGGACAGACAAGCTGTCTGCAGCACACGAGCAAACTGACACCCAATGTGTTCTGATCAGTCAATGTGTTTTATTATGGATACCAATGCTCACATGGTATCTTTAGAAACAGCGTCAGACTCGTCATTGAAACCAGTGTCATGCTGGGTCAACTTATTCAACATATGAGGGACTACAGTAAAATTAGGTTATATAATCAAAATCTAGAATAGAAAGCCTGCATTACAAACACTATGCTGTTTGTTGCATTATAGGAAATGTAGGAGCCAAAAAAGTCCGTTCAACACCGTTTTCAGCCCAATTCAGTAAGGAAACCTTCAAAAGAAGTGTTGTATTGTTCTTTCTGTAGATAAGCCACAGAAAGGTGAGGTGTGGTTCCCATGGACACAAACACAACGGTCAAAGAGTCATTTGAGATAAAGCACAATAGCAGCCGTTAGATTGTCCGATTGGAGATTTCCCTCTCGGCGCTTTACGGTTCACTTTATGACCAGAAATTGGCTTTAAATGCGCAAACGGCTTCTTTTGGATTTTCCAATGAGGAAGTGTTGAGCCATATTAAAGAAATAGATGTTGACAGAGTGAAAACACCAGCATGTAGTGTGTGTGTGTGTGTGTATGGTTTTTTTCCCCCTACAGGTGCATCCAGTTTAACAAAAAAGACAGAAGTTTGTCTCTTTCTGTTTCTCTGCCCACCTCCCCAACCCTGTCCTGTGTCTGAAAGGACAGAAGACCATTTAGGAAGCTGAGCCTCGATATGTAATCAAGTTACTCTTGGAGGATTTTCCAGTCCAGAAAGTCGTCCACCAGCCGGTGGGTAAATAAAGAAAGAAAAAAAGAAAGGGATCACGGGGATGAGGAGGTGAACACTCTGTACTCGATATGCGAGCCAACCAGCCAGCGCCCCCCCCCCCTCCTCCCCCCACCTCCCCAGCATTCATCACGGCCACATCTTGTTTCCTCTCCCTCTGTCGTCGACCTCGGCCCGGGAGAAACACCCACATCATCAGCATTCTTGAACCTGTCAGTCGAACGCTTTCATCCCCTCTTCCTCCCCATTCAGTCCCTCCATCCTGCCCTCCTCCTACGGTATCTCTGTGCAGTAAAAATGCACGCCGTGTTCCAGCAACAGGCGGCCGCCCGTTTAACGGTCACCGGAGCAACCAGAACAACAGAATTAATGCGGAGCGGCTGAAAGGACGGGAGACAAGAAAGCCTTTGCTTATTATTTTCTAGGCTCCACTTTAACGGTCCGATTAAGTGGTTGGAAACCCGACGGAAGAAAAACAAAAACAGAGCGTTGCAGAGAAAGAACAGGAGAGAGAGGGAAGTGGGGGGGTGAGGTCAGACCGGTTTATAGTCCTGTTAAGTCTAGAACAGAAAGTCTTTAAAACACTAAAAACAGTCTGATCGGGACAGACGCACCGGGGGGAAGTTCCCTGGCTTGTTGATTGAACTGTGGAGAACTTTTTTAACCTTCTGGAGCAATTTTTTATTAATAGTTATATTTACAGACAGCACAGCTGGTTCTGACACGTAACATTCACAGACTTGAAGTCGTCTTTATAACACAAAAGCCCACAAGAGGATCGTGTGACCCCATCACCTCTTCGTGGTCCGTGCCTGGTTCCAAGATCCACTATTCACACTTTCTCCAAAACAGTAGAAACAATGTTTCTCCCTTATAGGGACCGTAAGGTGCGATTAGTATCCTTGGTTGACTATTTTGTAAGTCTCTGTGATTTATTTGGATTTAGGATAGCAGGCAGACATTTTGGTGAAGGCTTAGCCTCAACGATACTCCAAACCTAAGAAGTGCAAAAACATGTTTCCCAGTTACTTCATCAGCATGACAGACATTTTAAGAAAGAAGAGCCAAGCCACTCTTCTTGGAGGGAAGCCTGCAAGCCGGGCTCCTTTTGACAGATACAAATGCTCTGTGTGTGTGTGTGTGTGTGTGTGTGTGTGTGTGTGTGTGTGCGTGTGTGTGTGTGCGCACGCGTGCATGTGCGTGTGTGTGTGTTCCAGAAAAGTGGCTGATTCCAACCACACTGTGGCTTGGTACTCCAGTTATGGGTTTGACCATGCAAACACTCTCCTTCCCAAAACACACACACACACATACACACACACCTACAGGAAATACAATAGGTGCACTCCATGTTTCATAATGTGGTGTTCTCATAGTTCTGAGCATATCTACTCCAGATGAATCCACCGTTTAAACCCATTGATTTGCAAGTTCACAGGTGAAAAAATGTGCTTAGTCCCTACAAAAAACTGCAAGAGTAAAAAAAGCGTAGCGTCCTCCTTTTCTTTCTTTTTTACAAAAGGGGAATACACATTTTGTCTGAGTCTCTGTATAAAAACCCGGGTGTCAAACATCTCCCAGGTTGTCGTAGATGAGATCAGGCGATCTTGGCAGGGGCTGGTGCTGCCACAAATTAGCAAACGCAGGTTTCTGCTTCGACACTTTGCTGTAAACCTCCCTCCCCCCGTCTCCTCCACCCAAGACATTGTTGTTGTTATGGTTCACATTGCTGCCTGGACCTGCATGTTTCCCGTGGGGCAGCAGCTCCTTTCGACCAAAAGCGCCCCTGCTTGGTTTGGGCGCGGTGAAGGGTTTGGGCCCCCTTGGACCCGGAGGATGCGGCTTGCCCAGCTGAGGAGGGGAGTGTCTGTGGGAGGGGCTGCTGTAATTCCCCTCCAATCCTGACAGGTTCTCCTGTCTCCTGTGGGGCTCCAGACGCGCCTCGTCATAAATGCTCATCCCCAAAGCAGCGGGCAGGCTCGCGCCTGCTTTGGCGCAGCCCTCGGGTTCGTCGTAGATGTGCTCCGGTCGCGCGGCAGGAGGCGAGGTGGCCCCCTTCGCTTGACCTCCTGGGGTTCGCCAGTTACCGTTGCCGCCTCTTCCTCCCCCCGTGGCCTCGTTCAGACTGAGCGCGATCGTCTTGTGGTTCAGCTCCATACTGATCCGGTCGTACAAGTGCGAGTACAAGTCCGGGGGCTTCCTGTGGTTGCTGCCCACGTTGTGATGATCCCCTTGGATGCCGCCCGGCGAAGCCTCCTCTCCCACCGGGCGGAGGCGCGGGGCGGGCACCGGGAGCGTGGACGCGCCGCTGGTCTGGCTTTGACCTTTGATGCTGTCCACCGGGTCGGAGTACAGGCAGTCGGTGCCGTGCGGAGGCAGGCGGACGGAATCCGCCGGCTCAGAGTAAAGACTCGTATGTTCGTCAGCCAAGGCGAGAGCTTTTGTCTGGCCCCGGGAGGACTTTGAGGTCCCCAGCCCGCCTCCCGCGCTCCCCAACATGGCCGGTGGTTCTGGTAAACTCCTCTTCCCAAGGACGCCGTCGGCAGAGCCCGGTTTGCTGCCGCCTGAATCTCCGTCGCTGTCTCCGCTCCCCGCCGTCACGCCGCCGGTGCGTATGTGCAGCATCGACGCGGGGCAGTCCGGGTCAAGGTTGAGTTTGTGCTCCTCGGCCAGCACTTTTTGCGACTGGATGGCCTGGTCCACCAGCGAGAAGATCTCGTTGCCCTGCTTGGTCTCAAAAGTGAAGTTGCCGGGGCCCGAGTCGCAGCGCCGGCCCGCCTCGAACGAAAACATGACCTGGGGGGAAAGGGGAAATGTTTGAATGTGTGGAAGTGGGGATTAAAGTATGTGAGAGTGAATAAATAAATGCGGAGGTGTCGGAAGGAATGCTGAAATGGAACTGAAGTATTAGAAGCTATAGTCACAGTCACAGCGCTCTTTTCCACTCATCAGTCATTTATCATTTTCTTGGAACTGAAAAGCTGCTTGCTTCCTTTTTCCACAGAATTGTACTTGTCACAGCTATTTCATTACTTACTTTATTACCCCTTTCAGTTACTGTTCCAATTTCACTTCAAAACACAAACTTTCGTCCCATCAAATAGAGATCTATTGTCTTTTTTTTTTACAGCGTGTAACATCTCAGGAAATCAGGAAACATGCAGAAATGAAACGAGTGGAGCCAAACCTGATGGACACTTTAAACGTCACAAACACAACCAGACTCTAAAGCTGTAAATCATCTGACCGCGTGAACACACGCTGCAGCTAAAAGTATCATTTGCACTTCCTGAATACAATCGTTGAAGTTCAAACTTAAACTGCCTGCACGCGTCAGACGTGTATCTTTAATCCGTTTCGAGAAATGTCCCTTTTTCGCGGCCACCCACCCGGTCCCGTCCGTATCTCCTCAGCAGCTTGTAAGGCCACACCAGAATGTTCCTCTTGGTTTTTGGCTCCTTCAAGATCAAGGTGTCTTTTTCAGCCTTCAGCCAGTAGCTGCCGGCCAGCCCGCAGCGCTCCGACGCCTCGGTCCGCTGAGTGCTCACCCAGAACTCGTTCACTGCGGCGAGAGGAGAGGAGAGCAGACGGCTTTTTGCTTTGGTCTCCCCATTTGGAATGATCTGCTGTGATACAGTACGTCAGTTAGGATGTCCTTACCCTCCTCTCTGGAGTAATAGATGAGGTTTTCAGACATCCGCAGGTCTTGGGTCCCTCCGTCGCCGTCTGCAGCGGCGCTGCTGCCGCCTCCTCCCTGCTGACACAACAACGCGGAGAACCGTCAGCCAGCCGAGCAAGTTGCCAAATTAGGATTCTTATAGCAAGTTCGTCAGGAGTTTGAGGTTTTGGTTTGTAAAGTGTGATGGGGAAAAGGAAAAAGAGAGGAGTTAGAGAGACAACAGAGGACGAAGCGGATGAAGTCGTCCTGCTGGGAACTCTTTGCCTCTGCAAATGGTTGCGCGCACGTGTGAGTGCACACAATAGCAGCTGTGTAGACGCTGCAGTGCCATGTGGGATATTTTGGAATTCATACAACAAAAGCAATTAATCCGCAATCCCAATTGAGAGCAGAGTTTAGAGCAGTGGTTTGACAGCGTTTCCCTCACAATTGAAACGTTTTTTGCTCTTATTCAGGCTCAAAATGAATAAGCTAGTGTACCATAAAATCTCACAGGACACAAGGCGAGAAAAGGTGTGAGGATACCTGAAACGCGATGTCACACATGGTATCCATCCAGTCTTTGGCGACGTTCTTCTCCGCAGCGAACACGTGCGTCTTGTCGTTGGTCTCCACACAGATGGCCGCCATGTTGTCTTTGGGACAGCTCTCCGTCAGAGCCGGAAGGATGGAAATGCACTCAGACAAGCGGATGATCTTCTTGTCGAGCTTCCTGGTTTTCTCGTTGGACCCGCTTCCGGAGCCTCCGCCGGCCGCGCCGCCTCCGCTCGAGTCGAAGAACTCCAGGCGGGCGATGCCGTTTTGACTGGCCGGGTAGAGGACGAACCAGTTCTTCTTCCATTTCTGACCAGCCGAAGAGTTAAAGAGGAGAAAATGAAAGCTGCATTAATCAATATTGGTGTGTGTGTGTGTGTGTGTGTGTGTGTGTGTGTGTGATATGATGTGACCCAGTAGTTTCCTTTGGGTTCATCCCTTTAACATACATTTCGTCAACATTTCTACCTCTTTCTTTGTGTTTACATTTTGGATTTTTTTCATTTTCAAGCAGACCAGGAAATATTTCTCCATTTTTGTGTGAATCTTTTCTATATCTTTAGTTGTTCTTTATGGATACGTTCCATTTGTATTACAATAAGCCACACACGTTTTGTTCCCTCTAAATATCAGTAAACAAGCATTTAATAACAGAGGGATATTTCTGAAGGCTGCCCCGGCATGACACACATCTGTCCCTCTCTCATTTGCATTAGGTTTACTGAGATCTCAGTCCAGATTACCTCATTTGACGTTTAGGCAAATCCCTAGAGAATTACTAGAGAGTGTAGAGGTTTTGTGTGACAAACTATCAAGGAGATCCACATGAGGACAACTTGACAAAATGACACGGCAGCGTGCTGTGGGCCCTGGCGGGTTAAAGTATGACCCCAGTCCAAAAGTAGGTGACAGGTGCGATTGTCTCTCCCTGGGGACGGCAGTGAGGAAGCGACCGCTAACAATGAGCTCTTCCTCCACGGCGATCAAAAAACAGGGGAGGCAAACAAACAACATGACTCCAAACACGTAGGAATGACAAGCGAGCGTACAATCCTCCAGATGTTCAGTGCCGACATTGGAGACGACAAACACAATGCATGTGAGATTGTGTGTCATCGCCACAGAAACAAGTACGTGTGCAACTGTTATATTTTGTCAAGTCAATGCTTGTTTGGAAGGTCCCTGTCGGCCCCTGTACCCTCTGGACCTGTGTGTTTTCGTCGACCCCCCCCATCCCGGCTACATTGTCCCCCCCCCTGCATTTAAAGGAGAGGACTGAGACACACTGTAGTGACGCCACGGTTAACAGAACGGACAAACCAGACGGCACTCGCCATCAAGAGCAGAAGTAGCTAGAAAGAAGCGCAGGCATGAATACACTTCTATTAGTCACATGTACACATGCACATGTGTGCGCACACTTCCACCCCATTAGCTAACTGCCAGAGGGGGCAGGAAATGTGTGGGATTGTCATCACCCAGGATACTCTTCACTTCCTTCTGCCTCCAGGTGTGTCTCAGTGTAAGTGTGTATTCACATATATGTGTGTGTGTGTGTGTGTGTGTGTGTGTGTATTCCTTGCCGCATTCTGGACCGTCTGCAGCAGTGCAGAAAAGTGCAATCACACAAGCGTGCGATTATGCGGCTGTTGAAATATGTTCTTTAGAGGTGTGTGTGTGTGTGTGTGTGTCTTCAATGGAAACAGCTGCTCCATATAAGGCAACAGACCGTTATCAGCCACAACACACAAAGTGGAAATTATGCAAAAGGATCATGACAGAGCGAGAGGGAGAGGTACTTCCGCTCTGATGCCCCTGTTTGTTCACAGGATCCAAAACGAACTGCCACGGCGCGAGGTTTTGTTTCTCTGTTTCACCGCCCAGACAATTCATGGCCTTTATGGTCACGATGGACAATGTGTTAAAAGCCGCACTGAAAAAATGACACTTTTAAGGAAAAGGGAAACGCTGCTTCACTTTCGTTACTGAAAAGTTCCATTTTCTTTTTGGACATGTTCTTTGTGAGTATAGGCCGCATCCAGCTTAGGCAAATTAAATCCATTCCCGCTGGTTAAGTTTATTACTAACATGTAAATACTATTTGCAGCAGAATGAGCTCGGGAATAATGTTCATCTTGCATCTTTCTGAACGTGAATGTGCGGCGTAAACGCTGTCGGCCTTGAACGGGGTTCCTGTTCCCGTGCGAACCTATTCATACAATAACGCATTCATGGATTCTCTGTCTGCATGAATTTCAGAAAATCTAGTGGCCTTCCGGTGTGCTTCTGTTCTGACATTGATCAAGTGGGGGACAAGTGGGACCTGAAAACCCGTTGACCAAGTCAAGTAAGAATATGCCTGATCTTCTTCGCAGCAAGGTCACCGGGACGGGAATCCACGTCACAAACGGCTATTCCGGGAGCAGACGAATATCTCAAAAAGGAGACAATGACGTCAATAAGTACGTCAGACTGGATGACACAAGTGGGAGAAACAAACAGAATGATGTGCAGTCGGTGCCATTAACAGTCCAAAACCCAGGAGCCTTCAGCTCAGCAGTTTGGAAGACTAAACAATGGTGCATATTTTGGGGATCGACTAATCATCTCTGTCAAACAGCGAGCGGAGAGAGAACGTCGTTCCATGTCGATCTTTATGCTCAGTGATGTTCAACGTAATAACTGATTAACTTAACTCAACTTTTAGAGCTTGTTGAGGCGATAACAAGAACACCCACTGTGTATCTATCAAATAAATACACTGGACAACTTGATTGGAACAACTATTCACTGTCACCTGCAGAGAAAAGGATCAAATGGAATCTTTTTTAAGTGCTTTGAAGTAGAAGTAGTGCTTTTGAAGAACACAAATGTTTGCGCGTTTTCTTTAAGTGGCAGACCAGAGCGACCAGATAGCAAAGTGTGAACCATAACGGAACATGATTTCTTGGAACAAGGAAGTCTAAAATGAGACAGCAGCGTCTCTTATGTCTCCGGGAAGACTCATAACAACTCGCATTCCACTGCTCAGACATGAACAAATATGAATAAGCTGAAAAAAGTGTATTTTTCTATTTCCAATAAATATGAAACGTGATACAATAAGAACAGTTAATGATAATCAACCACGCCTGCACTGAAGTTTAATAAAATATGTAAAATATATACGTGAAAATATAAGATCAATTTCTCTCAGAGCCTGTTTATCTTCATCCCGCAAACAGCTGCTGACAGCAACGTCAAACCAAAAGCTCTTCCGTGGCTCCAGGGTGCAGTTAAAGTGAAAAGGAAATGCGTGTGACGGACAGGTGGATGCGCTTACAGACAGCAAAATCACACCGCTCTGCTGCACGTTTTACAACAGAGTAAAAACTGTTTATTACAACTGCAAAGGCATAATCAACTCAATCAACAACTTCATCGAGCACTGGGCCTTTTAGGCTGCAGGCACATTAGCTGCGTATGCAATGCTCAACTGTGGATGTGAACATGCTTATTACCGCAAAGAGTTGGCATGCAGCGTGACGCTTTGGAGGTCAGTGCATACCTTTGTATGGAACTTCACGGTATGTGCCCCTGAAATGCATATGTAAAATATGTCCAGCTAATCTAACGAGTTCCCAAACTGAGGGCCAAGCCGGTACGTTTCATCATTGTGGGCACATGAACCAGGAGGAAATTCATCGGAAGTCATCTGTGAATATTCAACATAAAAGGAAAGGCTTTAGGTAAAAGATTCATACAGAAAGCAACGTGGACACATGTTTGACAGGAGACCAAAATAATATCTACTGATAAAAACACAAGCCGTTTCCTCTAGTTTGCCGGCAGTATGGCTGGAGTGCCTCTGTGTCTTTTGGGTGAAACCAAAAGATTAAATGTTACCTAGTGGAACCTGAGAAACATAGAAAAAAGAAAGCAACTTAAACAGCAGAACGGGATGCATTCGGACAGTTTACATCCCAGCAGCCGGCCCTATAAACTATAGCCAGACTTAATAATAAGACAGCGGTCCGAAACAGAAACCCACTTAGACGCTGCCACTTTTTAGTTGTTTTTTTTCTGACCCAGGAGAACGAGCCCTTATGATTATGTGTGTATGTCCACTGACAGCTACTACGATTGCATAATTTACCCTGCAAACCTCAAACCGGTTTCGACACACTTAGATCTGCCAGAGCTCAGCTTCCTGTGCCATTCTTTTTTACTTTGGAGCATATTTTATCCACTTTTAAACTTCATCCGACTCAACTCTGCAAAGACAACATGTTATTTGTCAACATGCGGAAATTCTCTCTCTTCCTATGGTGTTTTCTACTGTTTCCAGAAGGCATTGAAGCTTAAGCTTTGGAAGTGAGAATATCTATTGTGGATTCGCGATTTGAGGGCAGGAAACAGGGCCGGAACGTTTCGTTGATCCCTGTCATATGACCAGAGACAGAGAGAGACAGAGAGACAAAGACCCTCTTACAAATCTGGAAGAGTAAATGAGTTGTTATCCAGCGGTGCACTTAGACCAAAGGCAGGGCTGCTTTGCAGGCCGAAAACTGGAACAAGCACACACACACACACACACACACAGGTGCTGTCACTGACATTTGGTCGTGCTGTGTGATGTATGAAACTAAAATGAGTGCACCAACGTGACTTGTTGACAGTGTTTGCAATGCTGTGAACAGCTGATTATGCAGCATTATGAAGTGGAACCATGTCCGGCACGTCTGTCAAAAGGTCTCTTTCTCAACCCTGCAGCTTTGTGCATCCATGTTGTTGTTGGCCTGTTCATCGTGATTTGTTTTAAACTATGCAGCTCTGACAGCTACTGCATTGACACACACAACAACCATCAACTCTCTAACCTGTCCCTTGCACCTCCTCATCTAGCTAAAATAGTGCTTGTTACTACAGCGCACAAGGGTTTTATTAGCTCATTAACACAATGTGTTATTATCACATCCTCACACACAGAGATGCACAGCAGGTTTACTCCAGAAACCAACCGCATCCAAACAAAGCCAGAAGGGTTCAACTTTGCTAGGACTTCCTCTTTTCTGCATCCACAATGTGTTTGCCTTTGAAGAGGCACAATGGCCAGCCTGTAATTGCATCAACATGTGCTCTATTTATGTGTCACGATCTAAAATGCTGCTCCCTTACGGCGTACGAAGCTGGAATTGTGCAAAGGTTGCTGTGCGAAACCAGAAACAACCAAACAAGACTTATAATGGGACACAAATTTCAGAAAGTAGCAGCATGAAGCGTAACTGTTACGTTGATGAGCTGCAGTGTCTCCGTGCTGACTTAAACCAACAATAACAGGCTTCATTTGTCTCAAAAACACATGGTATTGCATTCATAAAAGGGTACGCTCAATCACCATTGTTATTACTTCTATAAGACTCACACGAGGATGTTTGTGGCTAAGAAGCATTTTATCTAATATTATTTTTAAGAGCTCCGAGGGGAGAAATCCTGTCCTCATTATATTCATATATTCATTGACTAGAAGTTTGATGGTCATTATTGATGCAGCCTTATTTATGGGGTAACAGGCAACAGTTCACTTTTCTGTCAACCGAAAAATAACTTTTTTCCTGGACTTACCTTTCCGAACTTCTGGTGCTGCACATAGAGTTGTCCCTCCTTAACGTGGGCGTCCATGCCCTCCAACGCCGGGACCACCTTTCCTCCGCGAAGACGAACTTGAACTTGAACTTGACTCACTTTTCAGGGGTTTATTTTTCCTCTATCCCCCTGGCAACTTCCCCCTTCTCTCACTTCCGCCCCCCGACCGTTAGGACGCATGTGTGGCGGCGCGGGCGCACAGATGAAGGTGTCACCGTGGGAATAAAAAAAGAAAAGAGGCCGAAACAGTTCCCGGGTGGTCCCGAGAAATTCTGAGAGGGTCCAGATTTTGTCGATGGGTGACCTACCCGTCGCCCCTCTCCTCGCCAATACTGCTCCGGCAGAGGAAAGTCGCCTTAATAGATGACGACGCGCTTCCGGCTGCAAGTTTCAGAATAAGAGCCCAATTAACATCAGTTAATGTGATTTTTTTAAATGTAATGTTTCTTCAGTAGCCTAACCAAAAACACGGGGAATCAACGTGTCACCATAGGAGATCTTTGTAGAAAACACAGAGAGTTTGAAAGAAATGTGTACCATTATGTTGTCATTTTTGAGTGTGCATGTGTTTTTTATTTTTTTTTGTCCAAATAATTTAACATCCGGTATAGCAGTCAGCATGTGGGGCTTGACGCTGCTGTCTTCTTTCAGGGGGATCGAGCACAGCAAGTATAGAAAAGTGAGCAGCGCATGCAGGCGAGCCGCTTCTTTTCTCCCTCTCTTCCCTCCGCCTCCCTCTTGTATAACTTCTCTGTTGGTTTCAGCTCACTTTCCGAGGCGCATACAGACTATATGCATAACATAAATTACACTGCATGTAACGATAGATGATGTATTGTGTATTTTGGAAGGAAATAAACTGCAGGATATCACAGCATGACTGTACAAATTTTAGAAAACTGTAACTATTCCTTATTCAAACAAGTAAAGTAAGACCAATATCCAAAGGATACTATGTCGGCATTATTCAATATACCGTAAAATAAAAATAAGGGAATTGAATCGAAGTCACGGCATGTTGACACATTTAAAGACACCGATGTCACCTGCTGGTAGTTTACTGTTACTGCGGGTTGGACTTCATTGTCGCTCTCGCGATATTTGTGCATGGACCTCAAACAGGAAGTGAGACATGGCGTCAGTGTTCGGTGGAGTAGAGGGGTGAGAATGAATTAAAATGTACAACAAACGCGGACTTTACATTGTCGCTAAATGCGTGCGTGTGTGTTGCAGGTTTTCATTCGAGTTGTCTTCAGTTGTCACCGAGAAATTCACAGTACTATGTGATACTTTTTTAGTTTCGGACCGGGGACTAGTTCTCTGACCGAGTTTTCTCGCTCCGTGTCTCGTGACCGCCTCCTCCCGATGTTTAGCAATGAACAAATATGTGTTGTTGTTTTTTTTGCAATTCAAGGGTCTTATTGTGTCTTTGCTGCCTTTCCTGTTAGTTTTAATATCACAGCAAAGCGTTTCCTTGATGGTATGTACAGTTGTATAATATAATTAATAATATATATATATATATATATATATATATATATATATAATTAATTATATTATATAGAATTATATATACAGTATGCATGTGTTTGTGTTTCTCTCATCCAACTCACTGTGTCCAGTGGAGGGACGCACTCCAAAGCGGTGCTGGTGGCAGAAGATGGAAGGATCCTGGCCGAGACAGAGGGACCATCCACTAACCACTGGGTAATAATAAGAATGCATAAATACAGGGAATTTTGTGGGGTTTGTGTTTGTCGTATATATTTCTACTCTGCATTAGAAAAGCCTGATTGCACAAAGATGTGTGTGTGTGTGTGTGTGTGTGTGTGTGTGTGTGTGTGTGTGTGTGTGTGTGTGTGTGTGTCACCATGTTTATACAGTTGGTTGGGGTGGACAAATGTATTGAAACTATCAACGACATGGTCCAAAAAGCCAAGAAGGAGGCAGGGCTGGATCCAAACATGGCACTGTGCTCGTTGGTCAGTCGAAACTTGCATACAATAGCCTCCAATTAAAGTCAACAACAACAAAACAAGTGGACCTTTTCTAAACACGGATCTTGTGAATGTGCAGGGCATGTCTCTGAGTGGAGGGGAGCAGAAAGCTGCGATCGACAAACTGATTGCCGACATGAAGCAGCGTTTCCCAAACCTCAGCCAGCACTACTTCATCACCACGGATGCAATTGGCGCCATGGCGACCGCCAGCAAATGTGGTAACTAGTCCGTTTTCTATTTCTTCCATTGTAGTGCAGTCAATCCTCAGCACTAAACCTTGCTGGAGGCATGCGTTTACAATGACTTGTAGGCTTTCTTATTTTCAAACAGTTTACTGTATCCTTTTGGATTAACGGTAATTAAATAATTTAGACTGTAGCTACTTTCGTACCATCTACATTAAGATTTGAAAGACACCCGCAGTTATATTTGAGAAATACGACCTTAAACTGTCATGACAAGAAAGTGTGTGAGACTTTGCCCCCTTAGGTGTGGCTGTATGAAAGCGATATTATAGTGTGTCTTTACACACTTTATGGCTTAATGAGATCAACGCCGTCGTCGTTATTGTCATATAGTAGCAGTCAACTCAGACTGTCTGTTTTCTCTGCAGGAGGTGTTGTGTTGATATCAGGGACCGGCTCTAACTGCAAGCTAGTCAATCCCGATGGCTCGCAGATCGGCTGTGGAGGCTGGGGTCACATGATGGGGGACGAGGGAGGAGGTAACCATGGCAATAGGTGTATGGATCATCTATAACTTTTATGGATTGGTCCAACTCCAAACCCTTCGGTCATCTTTCTCAGCATTCTGGATCTCTCATTTGGCGGTGAAGACAGTGTTCGATGCGATGGACAACCTGGTTGCTCCTCCTCATGATGTTACGCATGTCAGAAAGATCATGGAAGAGTACTACCAGGTGAGATTGCGACAGCAGTGATACAAGGAAATCAGCTTAAGTTTGAGGAGGTGAATGACTGGCAAATATTCCTACCGATGTGTAACAGTCAGGGTAAGAAATATACCTTGAACTAATACTTATTACAGGTGTCAAATCTGATGGGCATGCTGCCGCACCTCTACAGAAACTTCCAGAAGTCCCACTTTGCCGGTTTCTGCAAAAAGCTGGCTGAAGGTAGGCGGAAAATCATTTCCTGCTTAGTTCTTCTAAGGTGGCAAGTAGAGTGGAAGGTTGAATAAAAGGTATTTGTGTGCATGCAGGTGCAGAAGCAGGGGACGCTCTCTGTCAATATGTGTTTACTCAGGCCGGGAGAGTCTTGGCAAAACATGTGGAAGCCGTTTTACCTGCAGCACAGGAGGTAATAAATGTAATAAAACACACACACATATACGTGTACTCTGCTTTTCCCTCATTGGTTATAAGCATTGACACAGGACTCTTCCACCCTCTCTGGCAACAGCCTTTATTTTGTGGTGACCTCGGCCTCCGTGTTCTGTGTGTGGGGTCAGTGTGGAAGAGCTGGGAGCTTCTGAAGTCCGGTCAGTGGCCCTTAAATCTCCTTAACTCGTCTTTCCATCATTTTGACTCTGATGAAGAGGAAGCTGTGGGAAGTTCTTCCAAATCTCAGCTTCTGCTCTTTCCTTCTGTATTTTGTTGTCTCTGATTAGGCTTCATTGAGGTCTTGGATGAAGTGGCGTCATCTGGCAGGTTCAAGGGCCGTTTCCAGGGCTACTGCCTCCTGATTCTGCAGCAGTCGTCAGCACTGGGCGGCGCCAGTCTTGGGGCTCAGAGTATTGACAAAACGTTAACCATGGATTACGACGCTAATGCCAAAGTCTTCTACCGACACACTTTTAACAGCATCCAATGAGAGTGCAGCTGCACAGTCTGTGATTCTTAACCAATCAATGTTCAGCTAAAGGGAAGTTTTATTGTACAATAGAACGTTATTAGCCTCTCCTAATGATAATAATGATTGTGTAATAATGTGGAGCACTTGATTTTTTCTCACCACAAATACCAAGGAGGTGGTTGAACATTTTCCCTATCTGCATAAAGGCTATAATGGCAATTCTGTTTACATTTATTTTATTTTGTAAATCTTTGCACTTTCACAATACTTGTTTACATTTGACATATATAATAAAATAAACTGTTAATTGTTAACAAACAACTTATTCAGTGTTGTTAATACCTGTAGTTCTTAAAATCCCCACTTTTGATATTCTATACTTATCCTATGTAGATAAATGTAAAACTTGATTTATTTTTTGCAGGATGTCTATAGTTGTGTTTTTTACTGGTAGGTACTGCTATTAAGAACCATCCACTAAATAATTTGATCATCTTATGGAGAGTTCTCGTCCAAAGAAGCTCATCTAGGACCAGCGGCGCTTTAACATAAATATATATAGTTATATAAAACAGCAACAATATACTGTCAAGTTTGGGTGATGGCTCTTTATTAAACTTTATATTTTTGGTCGTCATGCTTACACTGAACTGTGCAAACTTTGAGTCCTCCTCGTTTCATATTGCTCTTTAGACTGTCCACCGAACGGCACCACTGTATTGTACAGTTACTGTGGCAGGAGTGAAGTAGCAGTTATCGTGTGTGCTGCCAATGTAATCGACATCAGCATGAAGAATCAAATTCAATTAATAACAGCGGCAGCAACATTACACTGATTTCTTTCAATTTAGTTCAGTTTCACCTCTGTGGTGGTTCTCTGGGATTATTCTACTGGAGAGGAATTCAGAAAAACATCTCGGCCCGGTTTTTCAAAAGTAATCCACCAGGATTTTGGATAACGGATTGGATCAAATCTTGAAAATGGATTTTTCAAAAGAAAAAACGGATTACATAATCGGATTAGATCACTTAAACCAATCTTGGTTTTGATCCGGATCAAACCTTAAGTTTGGGTTTTTCAGAACTTTTTTGTAGGATTTGGATCACTTTGATCCAAAAGATCTGGATTAAATTGATCCCATCAGAAGGGTAGATTCAGCGTGGATTTCATTCCCAAAATGTAATGAAAATCTTAAAAATGTATCAAATAATACTATATTTGGATCGTGCAGTATTTTACAAGATATCCTATTTATTCATTTCATGAATTTATTTTAAGGTTTTATTTTTATTTGTTCATCCGTCAGGCTACAGTGATTAGGTAGGCTTCAACGTATTCAGCCTTTCAGTATAGGCCTACAGAAAAGTAGAAAGAGTTTGGTCTCATAAAATAATCCCCCAAACAGCTGTCAAAACAATACATTTTATTCTGTCACTAATTGATATATATATTCATCACAATCGAAAATATTTTTGTTTTTAGAATATTCATTAGTGATGCATGCAATGATTACAGAATAACCAAAAAAATGCAAAGAATGTCAATCACTGATTTGTGAAATCCAAAACAAATCCAAATCAGAAATAGTGTCTAACTATTGCGTCCCTTGTTGCACGTCCTGTTTGCTCGTTCTGGCAGAGGAACAACTGACTTGAGATCCGCCTCCTAAAGGCTTCGCTCAGACAAGCTGGTCTCATCAGATGAGGAAGTCTGAAATTTTTGTGGAGTATTTGACATTAAGTCTTTTGTTTTATTCAATACATCTATATTTGAAACTTGTTATAAATATCCTCAATGTACAGTGTTTGTGTTGTAGGTCTCAGATGAGCGGACTGCTGGAAGAGGATGGATTTTTCTTGTTTTTAGTTTTTTTTTTTAAACGTGTGTGTTTTTATTTCAAATAAAAATAAACTTATATTGACCCCACACTGGCTATTCTACTTGTTGCTCTTTACATATCTATAGTTCTACGTTGTGATTTCCTATCCTGTTTGAGCACTGGTTATCCAGATTTGGTGATCCTGAAAAGTTCCTATCCGGATCAGATTGATCCAATCCGATGTTGCTTTGAAAAACTGGCTCAAAAGTAAGATGGATTACGTGATCACGGATCGCAAAAAAAAGGATTACTAAATCCGGATCAATTTTATCCGGATTAAACCTTTTGAAAAACCGGGCCCTGATGATTCCTGCCAAGCACCTGAAGGTAAATACTGTGTGATTTGAAGTGGATTTGTGTCAATCATCACTAATTGTCTCGTCTGGGACTGAATTGTGCAAATGTGTGCGTTGTCTTTAATGTTTCTCCGTGTATGTTTTGTATTGAAATTAGAAGGCAACTAAAACTGTTCGGCCTTCTGCAGCCTCGAGACAAACTGCACCACTATGTTCGTCAACAGTACTGTTAACCAACTGCTTATACATCTCACTTATGTCCTGAGATTCATCTAAATTCTTACCTTCTCAGAGTACAGTGATTAAAATGCATTGTCCTACAGGGATTTCACATATCTTTTCCTTAATGTTGACTGATGTTTGGCCACTCGAGGGCAGCACAAACAAGCTGCGAAGTGGACACAGAAAAGAGTAAACACTTTAATTTAACCTTACGTAGCGAGCCTAATTAAAGTTATACACATGTGATATTAAGCAACGTTAGGCTATAATTTAATAATTATAATCTTCACCTCTGTTCAGTCCACTAACACCTGAAATCAAGAGCCAGCAGCTGGCTGTATATATTTATGTGTACTAAAGTATATACTTTATAATGCTTGCTTCGTGGCAGCATCAGCTAACGTCAGTTTTTTTTTTCAGACTATTGACCAGTTAAAATGACAAACTACCAATCACCTGCATACAGAAGGAGCTATGAAAACACTAGTAACCAATTAGATCACTTAACTAGTAATTAGAGCGTGAGCAAATTCAGGTATGATTGAGCACGATTCAGGTTTGCTGTTTTGTGTGGAGGAAAGATTTGAATGCAATACATTGCATTTTGTTTACAGTACCAGACGATAACCACGTTCAACCACGTCACCCTCTGGGACAGTAGTTGTGTCTCATTCTGATTGTAGAGTACTGGCAAACACTGTAGTTTGTTTTCCCATAAACGTTGTGTTCAGTCTATATTTACAGCACGCTACAAATAGAAATGCATTATATTTGTGTTTGTGTGTAATGTTGGAATTACAAATATATGCTTTTCCAAGAGACATTTCCTCTAAGGATTTGATTACTTTCCAAAAAGCTGTGCATGGTCAAACTATTGTTCCATTTACTGTGCGAAAGGAGTAGCTCCTTCAGACCGACTCGTCGTCTCAATGCACGTCTCTGTCTTCCAGTTTGTGGGGCTGATGCCTTTGGAGAGATTCGTCACCACTTATAGTCGCCATTATAAACCCTTCAGTCAGTGCCACCTGCAAGTCGACCAGCCGAGGCCCAGTTGTGAAGCTGCAGCGGCTCCTGCGTGCATCAACAGTACCCAGGTTGGATGGATAAATAGACTGAGTGATATTCATTGATGGACATACTGACTCACCGACCAGTTGATTTTGATGTTTTCATAGAGTCATTGTGAAAACTGGCCTGCATTTTATAAATACTTATAAAATACTACAAGACGTCCAACAGCATCTATGGCTCTACTAGCTGTCTAGAGGTGAACAACACACGTTTGCAAATAATCTTTTATTTTCTAACAAGCTCTCTGTTACCATGAACATCTCCATCCTAAGTCATGGGCCTCTATGTCTCAGCCTCCAACAAGTTCCCGCTTCTTCCCTGGCTCCTTGCATCCTTTGGGAGTCTATCCTTCCGTGTCCGAGGCGGCTGCGCTCGTTGGCTCTCCCCTGACGGAGCCAAGGACGCAGGAGATGGGAGGAGAAAGGGAGTTCAGGCCTTTACCTGGTGGGGAGAAGCTATGTGCTTTGGAAGAAGAGTAATGTTCTCTACCAGGAGAGTAAGATCACATTCAGTTCTTCTGCAATTTCTTCTGTTATTTTTGGCTTGTGGCTTTTGAAAACTGTAGGTCTAGCGTGCAGAACCACTTAATTCTTATAAATTGGTGTAATTTTGTTGTCATCTCACGTCGGTCCGGCCTACTGCAAAGATTTCCTTAGATCTGTCTGCAGAGAAGCCGGGTTGCAGCACCTGCTGGACCTTCCTGTGGCCTCCATTCCAATTATCGCAACCAACGGCAGAACAACCCTCCGTCACACGCAGGCAGAAACGCACCTGTAAGGCAATTTCACGAGGATGAACATCTCGAGTAAATGGGCGTTTATCCCTTCCATTGATTAGGTGCTGAACATGGGGTTACCAGTGCCTACCTGAGGGGCGTGCAGCCTGCTATTGGACTGAAAGATAGGACCTTCCTACAGCATACTCCTGGGCAGCGTAGTTGGTGAGCACTTTCAATTTTGTTTTAAATTCTTCTCACACATGCATCTTGTAACATAAGTGTTCTTTTTTTGGGGACATTTTCCATCTGTCACAGCTGCACATGGGAAACTGAGAACTCCGGTTGTTGTCGCTGCGTCGAGATGAATCCCTTCCCTCCCTGCATCGGTCGTAGCAGCATACCTGCTCTGGCCCATGCTCAGCCCAGCAGGATGCTCCCGCTCACCGAGTACCAAGCCAGTTACTCTGCCAGGGTAAGCGTGCATGTGTGAGAATGGGTATTACCAACCACTAGCCCTTTGTCTTCTATACGCATTTCTGCTTTATTGCCTTTGTGCGTTTTCTCTTTGTGGGCCCAGCTTCAGATGCAGCGGAGGGACATTCACCATCAAGCTCCTCGCCACCAGATACGTTATCTCTGAATCTCAACTTTTGTCTCAATATACAGAACAAAAACACATACATGTGCGTGTATTAATGTCAAAACAGCCCAAAATCTGCTCCTTTGTCTAATCGCCCGTACTTGAAAGGGCTTCCACATATTAAAAAGCAATTCAAACGGCCGCCTCCGTTTGAATGGAGCATCCTTCGCTTCAGGATACTCCATTCATACGGAGGCGGCGTTCAAGGTATCTTGCCGCAGGATACTCGAGCTGCAGAGGAGTCGTAACAAAGCAGTAAACCATCTGGTGGCGGCACTTAAGAGACACTCTAATGGGCTTCTTGTCACCCTGTCGGGATGAGGTGGTGCAAGTATTCACATTCTTTTGAATCTGTTTGATTAAATATAAAACGTACCCACCTGTAAAAATACATGTTCAGCATTCTGAAATGCAATCAGTGAAAGTACAGCAGTTTTATCTGCAAACGCTCCTTTAAAAAGTAAAAGTACACGTTATGCAGAGGAGTCCCTATTCTAAATTTTTCTGCGGCTACAGCTGGAGCTCAGCATCCCACCGTAACCGCATGTTTAAATTCATTGATGAATTTAATTACACAACTTGGATTTTAATTGCAATCCAAATGTACATGTGAACACCGCAAACAGGGGGTTGCCATTGTGAAAATATCAGATAGAATAAACACATCTCTGCTGGTAAAGTCAATCACATTTTTAGCAGAGGAGCAGAGATAATTTAGTACAATGACCTCAGTGACCCCCAAGGTCATCATACCAGCGTGATGGCGTGCTCGTTCCATCAGATGGAGACCTCCAGAGTGAGGCCCGCAGTCTTGATGCTAGTTTGCTCTCAAGGTCGTCCCATAATCAGTCAGATAGAGTCTTCATTTGTCACTGCTGCTCTCGAACCGGGCAGGTTTCCAGGTGAAGTCGCCCAACGCCGACAGAATCGCGCGGCCCTCGACAACGGCGGCGGACAGACGGAAACAGCCCCCCGTCTCCTGCTCGACAGCAGCGGACGACATGGCCACGACCCTGTTGTACGGCGGACCCTGCCACTCCCAAGGGAAGATGTCCTTCCTCTCGTCTGCATCCAGGAGCGCTTTGTTTGGGCGGCCCGCAGGCAGGAGGCCTCAAGGGGAGGAGTGAGCAATGGGGAGAAATGCACATCTAAATTAGCGTTGAACGATTGTAAGAGTCACAAAAAGTTGCTTCAAAATTGGGCCACACTATCTCAATATGATTAAATGGTAAAATATGCAATAACTGGGCTTGTTTAGTTACGAAAGCAACGGGTGTAGCAATCTGCGCGTCCTTCATGTAGTCGAAGGCTGATGGCGGTGTTCTGACCTTCGCCATGGACAGACGAGTCCCATTCTCTGGTAGAGGAAAGATAATGTCTGATGTTTTGTCGTCTTCCTAAAGCAAAGCGAAGTCATTACATTTGTTGAAAAAGGACGTAATGATTTTCTTAGGGGTAAAATGGTTTTAAAAAATATATAGATCAGAATCTGCCAAAACATGATACAACTTTGAGATCTGCTCATAATTCAAATAGTCTAAACACTGGCATCTTAGATCAGCTGAAACGTTCACACCTGATGCAATCGGCTAAGGGTCAACTTCAAGCTCCATATTCACAAAATACTTCCACATCATTTAGTTCATTTAGGAGCGGCTCCCTTTAAATCATATCAGTCTTCCTTGGCACAGATTTTACAATTTTTTCAAGGTGGCAGATTACCCAAATTGTAGCTGTGCAGAAAAACTTTTTAGTAGGGACAGCTACTAAAAAGTGCGTATTTATGCTTCTCCTGTCAAGGGGAAATGCTCAATCTGAACATAAGTCTACAAAGAATTTAAAAAAATGTACCTTAATCACGAACAGTGAAAAATTATAGATTTTTTTAGATACAAGTATGCTGGTCCAGTGTGTATCAAAAAGTGACAAAAAAGCCAAAACAGAGCATTTGTCTTTAACATCTTTATTCTTCTTTTTTCATTATTTTTATTTGTATTGAAATTCATACTCTGTCGCCTGGACCTTTTTTTTTTTTCCTTTTTTTTTTTTTAAACGGCTTCTGTCATCTAACGCATCTAAACAAAATCACCAAAAATGATTTCATGTTGTACAATCCACCTGGCGGACATTCCTATTGGCTTCACCAGGGCGCCATTGTGTGGTCCAACACTGTGTGAGGAAGTTCCATTTAACCAAGATGACTCAGTCTCTGCTGCCCATTTAGGAACACACTTGAGTACTTGTTACTCAAATCAGAGTGCAAGTGTACAAGTGTCTGCCATTACAGTAAAAATACAGAAAGACATTGCCACTAATACCACAAATAAACAGTGGCATCAAGAACACACAGCGACAATATTGTCTCTGCATTTTCAACCCAAGACGGCCGAGAACTAGAACGTACTAATTAATTCATGTTTACCGTTGATGGGATTCTGGGTTTCCTAGAAAGCATCTTCACATATTACAACCTTTTCCTGAATGTTTTACAACTTAAACGGAGATCATAGTGAGGGGCGATGCTTCAGGGAAAGCCAGAAAACAACAAAAGAGTTATGGTTAAGAAGAACTTCCTCAAAAAAGTCAATGTACAAAGAAGACAGCAAGGAAGCCATAGGCCTACTGTCTGCCATGTGTTCCATACTGCTTTATTCTGATTGGCCACGACAATATTGTCTCCTCAAGTTTCCTCCTGCAAACAGGCCTGAATGGACACCACAGGTTACTGTACCCAGTAGAGACACAAAATTCCTCATCCTCAAAAACAGAGAAAAAAGAAGAAAAAAAAAAAAGGATGAGGAGAGGTTTTAAAACCTGATTTGGAAATGGACACTGATGACACGGATGCCGGACACACCAAGCTGTTGACTTTGTTCCAGACCAAATACTCCCCTGTAACAAGGCTGCTCACTACACCTCTTAAATCCAAATAGAACTGAAGGATGAAGCCATGAACAAAACTGAACATAATGAGAACTGAAGTCTTTTTTTTTTTTCTTCATTTTTTTTTTTTACGGTTCACAAATCTTTGAGCTTCCCTCTAACATTTGTCTTGCTTAACTCAACTTGATGCATGATTGAGAAACTCACTGCGTTCTAATAAACTGGACAAAAGATAAACATGGACTTCCACATAAATTGGGAAAATAACTTCTAATCCATGATTACACCTGTCCGTGTCTGTTAAGATCACCTCAAAACAAGCGTGCTGGGCGGGATGGGGTCTGTAATTTGGTTTGGAACGGAGCCGCTGCAAATACAAATAAAGAACGCGCATTTCTAAAAAACGCACAAGAGCTGTGATGTCACATGAGCTCATGACAAAATAGGGGCAAACGTTAACGGGCTCGACCGACCGCGATGACACAACAGAGCAGCTGCAAGAGCCCATCAAGACCCCGGAAATCTAAGTCCTTCTCTATCCTCACCGTCATGGAGACCCTTAACCTTCGGACCGTGTTTTTATTAAGTCCGACAGCACACAAATGAACACGTATGTGCAGTCATTTCTCACGTTTATTAGATGTTTTGTCCTGGTATCACTGCTTGGTAGCTGCCTCGGTTGCACGGCGAAATCAATGAGATCTGCATGCTCTGTAAGCCTCAACGGTGTCATCTGAAATGCAATGATGAGCTAGCGCCCGCTGCAAGACGGTGCTGGTATTACACCCCTCCCCCACCCGTTCCCAATGTCCCTCAGTATACAAGAAACAAACAGGAAATAAAAGATTAAAGAAACAAAAAGAAAGAAAGAAAAAAAAAAGAAATCCCCCCACCCCCCGACTGGGCCCGCCAGCACGCCTTGGACTTCAAGTGTGTGCGTGAGTGTGTGAATCAGTGTGTGTGCGGGCGTGGCCGCCAGAGTCTCTGAGAATATGTGAGAGCTGGTGTATGAGTGCGCGCGCGTGGAGGCTCCATGGGGGTGAGGGGGACTCCTAGTATTTCTTCCCCGGGACAAACTCCTTCGCTTCGGGATTCAAGATGCTCTTCCTCTGCAGGAAAAGGGCGAGAACAAATAGAGAGTTAACCTCGTCGCTCGAGCGTTGATCAAAATTCTCGGTGTTGGGAAATGAGATGCAATCTCTGACTCACCGCCACTTCCTCCAGGTTGTTATGGTGATCGCTGACGGACAGGCCGTTGAGCTGCTGCTGCAGCTGCCCCACCCCCTGGTTGTTAAGGTCACGTGAAGGGATGAACCAATCCTGGTCCTCCTCCTCCAGCATTTCCTGGAAGCAGCGCTCCAAGAACTCCTGCTCCAGCAGTTCTTCTTCCACCTGAGAGACAACACGTGTGGGTAGTGGGGGGGGGGTTAAGAGGATGAGTGACAGTTGGAAAAACAGTAAAGGCGGACAGAGGAGGAATATACATGGGATCATTTGCATGACAAGTAGAATCCGTCTCTTTTCTCCAAAGAAAAACCTTGTGTGTAATGAGGTGGCATTGAAGTACATGACTACCAAGAAACACACAGAATACTGAAAAGGGGCACCGAATATAAAGTGTTTTTTATTTAGTAACGGACACATTTATACACAACCATGCACCTCAAACAGTAATAATAATAGAACTACGAGTGGGTGTCAGTCATCAGCTGACCTGGGAACTTCCCCAAGGATGGCAGGCGACAAAAAGTTAGGCTGCTTTAAAAAACAAAATAAAAACGGCCCGAGCTGAACGTTGAGGAGAGCATCAGTCATTATAGAAGGAGAGGAGAGGGGTTGTGTGTAAGTGTAGCCAAAATATGTACCACGTGGAACATTTAGCAGTTGATCAAATAAACAATGCAGTGCCTTATGTTAGAAAAACATGTGATGAGACACTGGTTCTAATTGACCTTGATCATTGACATTTCCTGAAATTGGTCTGAAAATGGCCAACATCAATATCAGTTGAATCGGATTATTGAATCAGAGCACAAAATATCAGAACTGTGACTTTGTTTAAACGTATTTCCACCAGCTGAAAGTTCAACGATGACACTTATGTGACGTTCCTCATGTCTACCGAAGCATAGTGTGGGACACAACACACACACACACCTGTCTGTTGTACTCTTCTTCATTCTCCATCCACATGTACTCAGCAAACGGGTTGGCGTCGCTGCCCTCTCCTGCGTGCCCATTGGCCACTGGCTCCTTTCCCTCCTTGCCCGGAGCACCGCCTCCCGGTGTCTTGGCCACCTCTGGACCGCTCATCTCAGCTGGCTCTGGACAGGAAGCAGTTACAGCAGAGCAACAGTTAGAAAATCAGGTAAAAACACTGGAATTTGACAGCATAAAACTGGAACTTTGGTCACCGTACAAGGATGGATTCCGGCCAATTCATTCTAGAAGCCACATAGTATTTGTATTCTATTTATTAGCATTGTCTAATAAACAGGGCTGCGACGCTTCAGATCCAAACTGATACGGCAAACACTGAAAAATTGCATCAAAGAGCAGAACAGCCTTCATCGGGTCTCCTTTTTATTTTCCATATCTTTTGATCTAAATAAGCGGCAGATCGACACCAGCATCAACAGCTGGAAAGAAACCCGTCTCTAAAAAAAACAGTCTGTGGCACCTCAAACCATTTTACCACAAACACTCAGGAGTGTCTGCGGGCTAAACGGAGCTGTCGGCATCTCACGAATCAATTGATTTGGTGGTTGGTGAATTGAGTGCTGTGGCGAAAGGCCTCATTGCATCATCGTCGTCGTCAACAAGTCAAGACTCCGGCCTGACATCACGAAGCCATATAGTGGGACTCCCGAGTAAACAACCCCCACCCCAAGTGTTAAATCAGTTGGATTAAGCCAATAAAAACTGTCGAACGATGTCAAACTCGTTGGCCAAGTGAGATTGTGGAGGAAAATAAGTCATGACCAGATTTTGACAGTTTCTACAGTGGCATTAGAATAGTACTTTTGATGTTGAGCTTCATGTGCTTCATTTTCTTTCCTTTTCAGATGGAAAAACATTCTCCACTGAACAGAGACACATCAAACATCTTCGTACTAAACATCCCTCTATATATAAGAACCTTTTTTTTTTTTTTTTACTTCTTCTGGTGTTTAAATGGCCTTTTCTTTCTGCCGGTCTACCAGAATTGTGAATTCATAAAAAAAAAATTTAAAAAGTGATTAGCCAGTGCAAGTCTACTGCTGTGACAAAGAGCTCCTGCTCAGATGAGAGCGGCCCACTACAATGACAGTCGTCGTCATACTGCCAGCCGGCTCAAACAGACGAGTCATGACTCAACCAGGGCCTCTCAGCAAGGAGGGACGGGAAAATGAAAAAGGATGATCTCGACCGGGCGGCGCACACAGCCCGGGGTCAGCCTGATGTAGGCACACTATCTTGTTCTTGAGAGGACAAACTCCCGGCAGCAAGAACCTGATATCATCCCCCCCCAAAAAAAACAGGAAATAACGTGACGTAGACGCGGATTCCTGCCGCTTGTGCCTCGGTCAATGTGACACCGTCGACCGATGAGACGCGGTGAAGTGGTGCAAACCGTACGGACACGCTGTCCTTCTGGAGGAGCCCAAATAAACATTTAAGTAGGTTACAAGGAGGGTGTGTCTGCCTCTCTCAAAGCTGTCAAGTGTTTCTGTCCATTTGAGGACAATGATAAAAGCAGTCTAATTACACGGCGCAGAGATCAAAACAAAATGTAAGCTGTGTTAGCTTCGACATGAGTCAGAGGGCGGCAAACTAAATCTGGTAAAAGAATAAGACACGCCCGCATTTAAATCAGCACTGGTTGAAGAAGGCGGCAACCTTCTACCGCTGTCCACAAAGTGTTATGCATCAACAACGACCATCAATGATTAAGTTTACCTGACGGTTTAAACAAATGCACAATCCTTTTAATACAATTGCAGTGAGGAAAAAAAAAACTTTTCTCCAGCAATAACTAACAAGTATTCCAACGAGTAGTCCCGATCCCTTAAATGAATTATGGGTCACTGTGAACGCTTCTGCTTGGGAAACACAAGAGTGCACAGCAGGTAAATCGTCGGATAAGTGGCAACAGGGAGGACAGTGCGATTATGTACGGCATGTAGCACTTAACATGTTCATGGTGCGTAACCAGGCGTTGGTCACCATGTAATATTTAGTTGGAGAAGCACAGAATCCTCCGTGCCGGATCTCAGAGAAGAAGGTCGTCGTGGCGCGGGGGTTAGAGAAGGTGTGCTGGGAAGCACAAGGTTGGTGGTTCGAGTCCAGGCTGCCCCATGTTCCATCTCGAAGTGTCCCTGAGCAAGACACCTAACCCCTAATTGCTCCCCAGGCAAAAATGTGAAAAAGCTATGGGATTAAAGTGTAATGTAAGTCGCTTTGGATAAAAGCGTCTGCTAAATGACCTGTAATGTAATGTAATAAAGAAGGCCTACACAGAAAGGAAATGTAAGCACAAAGACCTCCTGTTGTCACCTCACTTTCATTGCAGATTATCTGTAGACTGTTCGACGTCACCTGAAGCGTTTCCGCCCCCAACATGAAGTGTTTATTTTTTAAATGAAGAGTTGACAAACCAGGACGACGGAAGACACGTTTGGCATAGAAATGATTATCGTTACTGTAAAAAATAAAAAGACTAGGAAAAGCCCCAAATGTAGCTATCAAAACATCTTATGCCGATTAATTTATGAATCAAAAAAAAAATTACCACTTGGGGCAACTTTTGAGCAAATTGAAATTAGAACGTTTTGGATATCAAAATGTAGGTCTGATAAAAATTATTATTAAGTAACTATGATGGCCTCTTGCATTACTATCGAGAGCCAACTTTGTGAATACGAGTTACTCAGTGAATCATTTTATTTAGAAACAACATTTAATGGTTCAGTCTAATAAAAAAAGACCCATCTTTTTGGGGGTTTAGACGCGCGAGGCGAAGAATTAAAGACATTTTACAACATACCGTTAACTGTGGACTCTGGTCAACTGTGAAGCATCGACGATTTAAGGGAGAAACAATTTACAATAAACTTGCAAACCTAAAACACACATTAACGCAACTCTAGCAACTGTTTAAATGAAGAGAATAACCCGCTTAATGACAGATTATGTAACGCAGCAGTTAACGGTTGTGTGTAGCGGGAGCCGCGTCGCAGTGGCCTGTAGCATGTAGCATGCTAACGCCTCCCGAGAGCTAGCGGGCTGCGCCAGGTGCCCGGGCCTACCTGCCACTCGCTAAACGGATTGGGTGGAGTGAGCCGAGGCAACGTTGTGGCTAAGCGGATAGCTCGCCGTAGCTTCGGAAAATATATGCACACCTAACCGTGCTGTCAATGGACGGGCCTGAGGTGAACGCTATCCCAGTAACAACAAAGGGTACGAGGCTAGGTTATTTCCTTCGTATTCGGTAAGCGGGTTGGCGTGAAAAATGCGAAGGACACGCAAACAAAGCAGCGCGCTGAAAAAAACTAAAAAGACACGGTGAGACGCTTTATCGTAGAAACCATGCAGCGAGGTCAAACCCCAAAACACAATCGCCGTTCGGATGCTTTGAGGCCAAACAAAGTCGGCTGCTCGGCTAGCACGCTGCTACAGCATGGCTGCATCCGTGAAGCAGGTCAACATAACAAGCCTCCGCTCCGGGGATTATAGCAGCTTTTCACGAAGACAAGAAAAGCCGTCGCGCTTTTTAAAAGTTGAAGTTACCTGGCATTGTGCTCTAGGTGCTCGTTTCGGAGTGTAGCGTTACACGAAGTTCTAGCAAGTGCACAGCGAAGAGTGCGTGGTCGTCGTTTCTCCAGTGGGGATTACTCTGCGCTGCGATGCAACGTAGCTCAAGTTAGCTAAATCCTGTTAGCCACCTTGCTAACGTTAGAACGCTGGGTCGGTCACGTGGTGTGGGGCTGCATTCATGTTTTTTCATTAATGTGGGAATTTCAAATAAGATGACAGTTATTCAAGCACAAATATTCAATTTTGAATTAGCAAAATTCAATCAAAATGTCCCACAACTTAAGTTAAGACCATTATATGTGGTGATTTATCCAACCAAAACAAATATAAATGTAAAAATATTATAAAAAGATACCTTCAAATGTTTTTTTTATAAATGACAACATGTATTCATCCATTTACAAATTGAAGTTTCAGCTCTAGATTCGGGTAAACTGTAAGCAAGAACTTAAAACAAAATCTGCAAAACTTTTTTTGGACAGTACAAAGAATTCGGTCTAATTCACTCCGAACATGCCATTTATTTTTTTATGCACAATATCGGCGTGTCGTAATCTATGTAGAGTAACATTGGAAAATACTGTGAATTCAACCATATCAACTGGCCCCAGTTTAGAATGACTGAATCCATCTGAATAGTAGCAGAATTCAGAAAATGTTGATTCCATTTGATGGGTTTACAGCACAAATACTAGAATGTAGGTTGCAGCGAGGTAGTAGTAAGACACTGCATGTGCAGAGCAAATGAAAAAGACTGACCAAAATACCATTGGAACAAATGGATTTGTTAAGTGTGCAGATAAATATGTGCAGTGATGCAGAAACAGATGTAACCCGCTATGCAATCCGTTGTACCACAACATCTGGTTGTATTGCACCTCAGTGTTTCCAGTCCTAATCCCCCCAGAGGATAATACTGCATGATGAATATGGATCCCAAGATTGAACAAGATCCAGCTCCAATGCACTCTGAGCAGACTCTGTAAATTACAGACATTCTTTCCCCTGATGTCCATTCGGATGTGAGAAAGAACCAGGCTCTATTTTATTTTCAGAAAAATGTACCGATCGTGGTTTGATTTATTTAACCCCTTCTTAATACGCCACACTGATAATATGGTTCTTTCTTCTCTGGTAAGATGTTTCAGTTGTTCATTTTATGGTCATTATCAAAAAGTACATTTGTAGTTCGGTGAGTCTTATTACCTTATACTATGATTGGTTTCTATTATTTTGTCAATCTGTGTGTATATATTGGAAACTAAATAGTGCAACTACTCTTTCCCACAGCACCAAAACGACCAGTTGAAACAAACATCTCACGTATTCATGAAAGAAAAAACTGTGGTGATGTTGTATTATAGAGGACCTTAGTTTTAACTTTTTTTAAAGATGTACATAACATTACTGACAATTGAGTGTAGAACTCTCCTTGCAGATCGTGTTAGTTCATTATCTGTCTGAATATATATATATATATGAATGTCAATTCAAAGGGGGGTAATGACGTCCAGGTCCAGGAACTGAAGACACAGTCTCTCAGTGGTGTGGTGCACAGTGGTGCATGTGGTCGACAGGAAGGTCATCGTTTTTTGGGTTTAAACGTGAGAGGCGAAGAATAAAGGTATTTTACAACATAACGTTAACTGTGGGCTCTGGTCAAACGCTCGGTCCTCCTCAATTAACGAGACAGGTCACAGGATAAATATGGGAGAAATATTCCATGTATCAAACACAAATTTAGGATCTAGATTTCTTTATTGTACACTACTAGATAGTTTAACGTCTTCGCCGCCTCATCCCACAAGTACACGTCACTTTTAGGTGGAGCTGTTCGCAACTCATAAGACATATCCATCTCTCTAAGGCCAAGCGATAAACGTGTGTGCCAGGAAGGGTTCCCAACAAACCAATTCAGCTGTACACGTCACAATAACGTAAAGGGGCGAAATCGGGGCTCACGATGTGTACGTGAACGCAACACGTTAACAAACATCCTTGAAGCACCGCTAGCTACACGTATTACTTAAAAAAGCAAACGCCTGCGTGGCGTTGGAAATAAAATCATCTTTCTGGTAGATGGCAAATTCTCAGCACTTTAGTTTACTTTATTCTTATGGGGGACAAAATGACGAACAGCGTGAACAACATACTATCAACCCACATTGTCTAGTGCTCAAATCAGTATATGCACAATATATTACAGTGTTGCTGATCTAAGAAAATGTTTTAATCCAACATCTAACACTGCATTGGTTAATTAACCCGGGAGTGTTCGGGTACTGTAGTGCTCTACCACAATACAACTATTTCTAATGGAGGCAATGACTCCTAAGTCGACATGTCACCCTTTCATCATTTTAATGAGTGTTTTCTTCTTTTTTTAGGCTTTGTGATCTTAAGTGGTGCAACGCCACAAGGAACGTCATCCGTGACATGTAAGCAAGTTATTAAAACAAATTGGGAGACACACGTACACAATTTGCTTTTAAATGAACATTGCAAAACCGGTCGGCGTTGTTCTTCCTTTTCTTCATGTAGCAAACCGCTAGCTCCACTAATAACAACAACTCACCACACAACTTCAAGTGCTTGCAGGGGGAATCCGCAAACCAGCTGTCGGGGGGGAAACGTCTCTTCTCCGGTCCCGGACGTCACAGGGGAAACACACAGTGAAGAAATTAATCCAATAATCTCCAATACACCCAAAAACAATACGTGTCTCCTTTGTCCCCTAGCTCGCGTAAGTGGCTAAAAACGGAATAAATCCGCTGTTTCTCTGTCGAAACGTCGAGGGGGGGAAAAAACGTTGTGTCGTGGGACGCGTTTGTCCAGCTGTACACGTCAGTCATTGGTTGGGATCCACGTCAGGCAACATTTACGAGCAATTCTATTGGTCCAACTGATATCAAGACCCGCCCCACCCCAATTCATGTAAGTAAACACGTTGTATCACATTTTCCTCGCTGCCCCTATTTTTGATCGATACTACCATTTGATATTTGACAAAGTGGTGGTTTCAACTAGGTCCCATCGTGTTTTAACAGACAGAGCTCTAGTTTTTTGTTTGTCAAGGTTGTTCGGGCCGGGAAAGCAACAAGAGGGGAGTAAAAGTACTGCAGATTAAAACATATCATATGTGAGTGTGAGCAGTAACGTGCACATGTGTTTCATGGGCATGAACATCCCCAGGTTGTGCCTCATCGATCACTCTTATATGCATACCAAAAATACAATATTTGACATTATGTTTTAGTCTTGAAGGATTGTTGACATACTCTCACCATTTGTTGTAATCTATTATTGCATTTTTACACAAACACAGCAGGCCTTTTTGTTATTATTAGATCATTTATATTTGTCAAGTCAAAAGAATGCCCGCTTTTGATCATGTTCAAAACCTGGAGTCACAATTTAAAAGCAACGCTATTTGCAAGTAGTAAGTAATTACAAAACAGAACTAATAATCTAAGGCCAGTGGACTTCTGGTGTATGCTGATATATATTTTCTTATATTGGGACATTATTGTGTAGAAAATAATGAGTCACAAAAATATTGATAACTGACTGATGACACTTTCAAAGAATTTATTTTTAGATGGCAAGAATCTTTGACATCACCTTAAGAAATGCAGGTAAGTATCGGTAAACAACCCTTTGCTCACTGGGCATTCGTATGGTGTTTCAGAAAAAAACGCTCAGCTCTGTGACACAATGATACATGGTAAGTACAACTTGTCAAAAAATGTAAATCCCTTATGTCTACAATAGTACCTTCATGAGCAATATAATTTATTCACAAAAAAATAGTATCAATGCATACACTGTCTAACCAATCCAAACACCTTGTAACCTGAGAGGAATTTGTTGTAATGACTTCAAAACCTTTAAACTATTTGCCCAAGGCTAAAAGCTCTACTCCACCCCTTTCCACAATGTAGCTCTAGAGAGCTGACAGTGTTTTAGTAATGACAGAGTTTATCCAGAGTTGGATAAACTGTTTGACATAAATAACACAATGACAGTGACGTGTATGTCGGTGTACGCAGAGAGACTTACTTTATCTTACATAGACTTGTTGGAAAAGCAACATTTTACAACCCATTTTGAAAACTGTAGTTTATTGAAAACACTAGTAAACTGTACATTTAGTCATTCTTCAGTTGTACTCTCAAAATAGCCATCGACTTATTTGCAGCACCCACGGATAATTGAGGTCGCATACTTCATTAGCCTTTTGGCACCTTTGGCTAGTTCTCTAAGGCTTAACTACCACAACTAAATCAAGCATCCATAGCTGATTGGTGCTACATTTTCATTACAGCTGTGGATCAATCCATGTGCCCTTGTGAAAGCTAAACAAGGGGGGGGGGGGGTCCCAGTCAGCAGTAAATTAAAAGGGTGCATTTCTCTAACAGCACAGTGGAGGGCGACTCTAACACTAAACAGGGTTTTACAATCCACATAATTGTCCTCTGGAAAAGACCGTAATAGATAGTATGTGGTCAACGTGGATCAGAGTTGTGTAGCTATAAAGCAGGATGTACATTTTCCGTCCCCGTAACAACAAATCCATGTTGGAGTGGAATGATGAATAAAGTACAATACTGGGTTTCAGACACACGCAAGTTTGCCAAAATCACCAAATTAGGCTCTGTGTCATGTACAGTTTTAATATTAATGACCGGACAGTTGAATACAAACAAATAACTATTCTGTATAGTCTTCCTTGAATCTTGCACCACAGCACTGCTGTGTAGTTAACGTTCAGGAAAGCTCCACTTGACCTTAGATTGTCACTGTGACAGATTTATAGCTCGCTGGATTATCTCTGCTTTTTCAACGCTGGATGCGAGATGCATGCTTGCGCATATGCGAGCGGTAGATGGGTACATTAAATTAGGAACACCAGATGTCCTTCAGAATGTCACCTCAACTCATCTACTCTAACCTGTAATACTTTTCTTTGGGAAACTCATAAAGGGCTGCAGGAATGTATAGTTTCCTTGCACACACACACACACACACGCACACACAGCACATCACACATATGCACGACCAAACTGCATCCACAAACGTGGACGACACTAGCAGAATATCTCTCTCTTTCAGCTCTGGTCACACATAAAAATGGCAGTTAGAGTGAGAAATTGTTTGATGGGAGACGACTCATGTAGCTTCAATACACTGCACGCAACCGCGTGCAGTGTATTGAAGTGTATTCCTTCCCCCCACCGCTCTTCTTTCTCTCGTCTGTTATACATTTAACCCTCAGTGTATTCGCTAATGAATAATAAATCATAAATTCCCTTCCTGTACCTCTCTCTGCCCCCTTGCTCCCTCTCTCTCCCTCCCTCTCTCTCTCTCTTTCTTACACAATAGCTCAGACTTGATGTCAGAGGGCACTCATGTTAAAAGTGTGTGTGTGTATTATGTGTGTGAGTTTGTATCTGCTACCCCAGCCTTTCCTGTGGCCCCTCCCCAGGTTTCTCCAGTGAGTTTGTCCAATGCCACTTGCAAGGACACATACATGCACTGGAACATATGACACACCCTTCCATGCACTTGAGCTGCAAGCGTCCCGTTAGCACGCACTCATAGGGGCAATATTGCCTTTTTTATTTTCTGCAGAGCTCAGTATTCCTGCATGCACTAATGCCTCTAGTCTGCTCTCTCTCTCCATCAAGCAACAGGCCTTAGGATTTTAACAAGGACTTTGCTAAACATCTGTGAAAAAAACCTTTAAGGAAACAATAAGTCACTAAGAACATGCAAATATTTCTGCCCCCACCGCCCCCTCTCCCCTTCAGTGGTTCTGCTGTGTGTTTTACAACCAACATTCAGACTCCAGGCCCCACTGGTGTTTTTATGCGTTTCCCTCGAAAAATTGTTCAAAGTATTACGACTTTTTTCCCCATAACGCGGGCGCAGGTTGAGTAATGCCGCATATTCATGCCATGCCTTCATTAAAGAATTATATTTTTCTAAATGGCCTGATAATGTGCAGAGGCTTTGTCACTTGAACTTAAACAGCCTAGTTTGATAAGGATATTAGTACTGCTCTAATCCCCGTACGATACATATGAGGCTAGAGCTAGTTAGCGTAGCATAGGGTAAAGAAGAAACAGTGGGAAGTCGTTGGTCTCCAGCAGCTGGCTCAAAAAAGACCAGTATCATGGACCCCGAAAATGTCATTAAAAAACAACATTACAGTTTTATGTTAAAGGACTAGTTTTACATTTGACTATGAGTATAGGCATTTTTGCTGAGACTAACATCTGAGACATGCATCCAAGATTAATTTCCCCCGCATGTCTGCAGGTAAACATGAGGCTTCAACCAGCAGCTTAGCACGAATGTTCAGTGTGTTATTAGTGGCCTTAAGAGGTGCTGGCAGGTGGATTTTTATTTATATTGTGAGCAAAGCAATGCTGGTGGTTCCTTACAGTTACAATAAACAGTTAGCTGGATGCCGCCTATAGCTAGTGGTCCCAATTTAACCTGTAACCTTTCCTGAAAAGTCAAGTTAACATTGATAAACATATGTTTTAATTGATATTGTGTTAAGTTATAAACAAGATCAGCTCAACTGCCATTACAAAAATAAAGTAATGTTATTTGAATGAACGCTATCTAGAGGGTGAGTAGCAGGTCATCGTATTGTAGATGAGATTTGGGTCTATTTTGAGCACCAAGAGGAAGAACAATATCTGAGTGTGTGTGTGTGTGTATTTGCATGCATTCTTGCATGTGTGTGTTATGGGTATATTCCCGGGGCTCGAGGACTTCCAGGGTCCCAGAGATAATGTGGGATTCATGAGAGGAATGCCGCACAGGGGTTTCTTCCTGTCACCTGACTCCATCACTTCCCTGTGTTCGGCTTCCCGCGTCCGGACCTCCAAGGAGGTAAGGGTGAGGCTGCACCTAGACCTTGAGAGTCTCACACGTGATGGAGAGATTGACACGGTGGCCCCGTTGGTGGGTTTAAACCTGTAGTTTAAGCAGATCTAGGAGTACAGTACGTGTCAATTCATTTAACAAAAGCCCAGGGTTGAAAGCATAACTTGTTGAAATACTGCCACCTGACTGCTAATTTGACTCATTGATAATTACCTGGAGCAATTTCATACAGGCAAACTAAATGCTAACCACAAAGAAAGTTGCGAAAGAGAAAACAGTGAAGAATGGTCAATAAAACATGGACGGGACAGATGTAAAACAATAGAAGAGGCAATAAAGCAGGAGGAGAAATAGTGGTGATGGCAGGATCCATATGGGGCCTCTTAGTTTTTGGGAGACATGCCAGGTAATGACTTCCAGACACACAACCACACACACACACACACACGCACACTAATTTGATTTGGAAATCTACGTAAGGAGACTGAGTGGATGTGTATGTATATGTACCAAAGGCCTTTTTTTTCAAATACTCAAGAGGACTGGTCTTCCTTAGCCCTGTGGGAATGGGGCCAGCAGGTTTCAGTGTGTCTGTGTGTGTGTGTGTGTGTGTGTGTGTGTGTGTGTGTGTGTGTGTGTGTGTGTGTGTGTGTGTGTGTGTGTGTGTGTGTGTGTGTGTGTGTGTGTGTCTGGGGGTTAATGTGTGCTTTCAATCACAGCTCTAGTGGGGAGAAATCAGATCCCTGCAGGATTGATGTGGACCTCAAGGTCCACACGTACACATCTGAAAAACACACACACACACGCACACACACAAAGCACAGGCAGATGCCTACATGTAATGGGTAAGACAGCAGCAAACGCATTACATAGTTTGAATATCAAACTGATTGTGGTGCGTGCAACTCTCAGACATGAGGGTGATACCGATCTTTGCATTAAAAAAACAATCATAATTTGTTCAATGTTGACTAAACACACCTGTACGCTTCCTGCTTTTGTCTGCAAAGTTAGAAAGTTGTACATAGAGGTTATGAAAAGGTTAACAGGGCAGACAAAGACAAAGAATGTAAGGAGGCGGAGAAATGATTAAAACAAAGCGAGAGTATGTGAGGAGATGAAAAGGTAAGCAAAGAGGAGGACAGGAAGAGATAATTAAACAGAGGAAGGCTGTATGGAGGAGTGGGAGGGGATGCAGAGGACAAGATGACTTAATGCACCGCTTGCTATGGAATACTCCCCCCTCAGTCTCCAACACATACAGACACACCACAATTTCCCTGTGAGGTAAATCCCCCAGCATTCCACTTATATGCTCTGTCACAGCCCTCCCACTCTTCCAAATTGTGTGTGTGTGCGTGCGTGTGTGTGTGTGTGTGGGTCACCACTCTTCTCTGACATTCCTGGGTAGAGCCAAGAGGCAGCGAGTTCAGCTGCAGAGAGTCAGAACTACAAATCCAACTCAGTAGGGAAAGTTCTACTTTTCTATTTTTTTCTGATTTTCAAAAGTTTCACAAGGGATTTCCAGAGAAGCATCCTATCCAGTTCCAGTTTTCCTCATGCTCTTCTTCTCCATCTGCCTCCCTTGCTCCAGACCGCGGACACTTGTGCCGGGGAACACTTTTAGAGAGGTAAAAACCGAACAAGGACGTGGAGTTGCAACAGCACACACAAAGAGGTGAGTAAAGATTTAAAGCACTTCTAATTGTTGATTGCCACTAGTTCCTGTGGCGCTTCGATTTGGACGAACGCATTCATCAGAAACGCCCAATGCCTGATCTCTGTTGCCTGGTTTTTGTTTCATTGGTAAACAACAAACTGTCATGTTTGTATTGTTTGCATTCCTGGCTGTGTTAGGAACTGTCAAAGCTGCATGACGATGGGCACTAAAAGCCCGACTTGCCAGTCAAGCTGCCCTATACTTAACAGTCTGAGAGCTCTATAGTTAATGGGGCATAAAGTATGAAAAAGAAAAAAGTATGTGCAAGAGAGTTGAAGCAGAGGAGAGATGTGGAGATTCAACCTACGGTTTTATCATCAAACAGCAATCACTGGTTTCCCTTCACCGCGAAGAAAATACAGTGACGCACAAATGCACAACAGTGCATTCAAATGTTGGAATGTTTTCAGGCACATGCCTGAATTAAAACAGATGTGGATGTATGCAAAAAAAAAATCTCACACTCTACTTCTCTCTCACTTTCTCAATCACACACTTACAGAACGGGATTTAAACAAACACAGCTTTGTTTCATTAGACTCTATTTAGTTTGCTTTTGGCTCAGATCACACACACGCACACAAGCCAATGTAAACCAGTACACACAAAGTAAATGCATGTGCTGGGGGAAATACAGCCGACATGGAGACCACTTAAAAAAACGTTTCTCTTACTTTTACAGGATCCGTTGTTTGTTTAACCCAGTCCAAAAGATAGCTCATATAACCTTGATAGATTTAGTATTTGGCAAACGCTCAAAACTCAAGACCGGAAATCTTCCTCTGGTTTCTGAGAACTCAAATAGCTGCAAACTTGAATTTCAAGTGTACTTTGAAAGATGGTTGCGGGTGTCTTCTTCCCTTCCCCTTCCTAGCTGTGGAATATCCCTGCTGTGGCTCCAGATTGCTCTCTCTCTCTCTCTATCTCGTGCATTGTATTTGTTTTAGGCAATTTTATTTGGAGGCCATAAATCCTACATCACTCCGTTTGCAACATCTCGGTTTTGTTGTGTTTCTCCACAGACCCTGGCTCCTATAAAGATGGCTGACATGTTGCAGCCAGACTCCAGCAGCCTGCAGTTACCCGGTAGGAGATATACACATGCCAGGTTGCTATGGCAGCTTGGCCAAAATGGTTATCTTCTGAAAGTATGAACGCGGCAACCTCCATCTCCCACTTGGGAAAATTACTCTAATCAGATTCCGGTCATTCCAGTTAAGTGAAAAACATTCACTTTGACATTTACTGTAACGTTTCAGGTCAGGGGAAATAACGCTCCGTCTGCATGCAGGCAGCAGCAGTTGATGACAGTCCAATAATGTCTCTTTCCTTGTGATAAGAGAGGGGCTGCATACCTCTCCTCAAACACACATTTCTTTGGGCTATTCCGTTCATTTGCCAGTGGAGTTTGTGCGGCACTTGTGCCAAAGCTGCATCATGCTGTTATAATGAGATTTCAATAGAAAGCCACCACTGTTTACCCTTACATTTTACCATACTTTCCTCACCCCTTTTTCTCTTTCTCCGTTCATTCCCAGGGGATCGCTTATCAGCCCCTTCATCGCCTGCCACAGCTAGAAATGACTGCGGCATCACCCCCCTCACCCCCTCACCATCACCGGTAACTACACACACACACGTTCACCACAGACATTTGCACACACCCAATCCCATATCCACTTAATGTCTTTATATTTAGCTCATAAACATGACCTGCAAACCCACGGCCGCTTTGCACTGTCATTAGTGGTTTATAATAACACTTACACTCAGAGTTTAAAGTGATTCGTAGACTTAACGTATTCCCCAATATAGACTACAATCTGGCGGAAAGAAATATCTGCATTTCTGCCCCGAAGAAGGAGCAGAGATGAGACGAGAGTAGAGAAGACGAGAGGTTTTAGTCTATCAAACAGGAGAAATAATGAAGAAATATTCTCCTGTCAACGCCGTCTACCCATCACGCAAACTCTCCCTTTCAGATGGTGGAGGTCAAACCCAGGATGTCGCATCCGTTCTCGGTTGTCGTGGCGATAGACTTTGGGACGACCTCCAGCGGCTACGCGTTCAGCTTCACACAGGACTCAGACGCCATCCACATGATGAAGTGCGAGCTTCTGGATTTATTGTCTTCACTTCAATTCCGTTATTTTATTTGCTCCCCGTGACACCTTTTCCTCCCTTCCTTTGCAGGCGCTGGGAGGGTGGCGACCCTGGGGTGGCCAATCAGAAGAGTCCGACTTGTCTGCTGCTGACTCCTGATTTGCGGTTCCACAGTTTTGGGTTTGCGGCCCGGGACTTCTACCACGACCTGGACCCAGAGGAGGCTCGCCACTGGCTGTACTTCGATAAGTTCAAGATGAAGATCCACAGCACGAGTGTAAGAGAGATCAATAAAAAAAGGCCTATTTGCATCGCACTGCATTGTGGCCAGTGTGGGCTGCAGTGTTTTTGGTGCTTTTAACTAAAATCGCAACTAAAAACCTTGACATCTTTCCCTTTACTGCCCACAAGTCCCCAGACCTGTGCTATACGAAATAACTGGAGTATCCACTTTGATGCCTGAAACATCAGAAACGATGAATTGTCCTTGCTGAAGTGTTTGAGCAGTCGCGGCTTTGTTTCCTGCAGGACCTCACCATGGAGACGGAGCTGGAGGCGGTGAACGGGCGGAGGGTCAGAGCCATCGAGGTTTTTGGTCATGCCCTGCACTTCTTCAGGGAACATGCTCTAAAGGTGCACTTTCAAGCCCCCGTTTGTGATTGCAGTATGGTGCCTCAAGAGGACATGCTTGTTCACTGGATTATATGCGAGTGATGTATTTACATGTGGTTTATATAGTTCATAGGTCAAGGTGTTTATATGACTATAAATGTTTGCTGCTGTGTGGCTCCTGAAGTGTTTTGCTTTGTTTGAAGCTCATAACTTGGGTTCTATTTTGATCGTTTTACCATAGAAAGTGTTTCATTGATCCGGTTTTAGGAGGTGAAGGATCAGTCGTCATCCGTGCTGGAGGGAGAAGATGTCCGATGGGTACTCACCGTACCCGCTGTGTGGAGACAACCGGCCAAACAGTTCATGAGAGAGGCCGCGTACCTGGTAGGAACTCACATGGATGAATCCAAGCATCGGGAAGTGGATATGAAAGAGGCTACAAATATTTTCTGTTCTGACCTTTATTGTTAATTACATTGTTTCATGAAAAGTTAAGAGATACTGTGGCAACGCAAAAGGCATGAGATAGAGGGTGTGTGATTACTGTTCCCATGGAGGATCACTTACTATATACACACACAGACTCATAACGCTGCATATCTGACTCCATCCTCCTCATATACATAACACACACTATAATGTACAAGTCACAATGACTTGTAGGAAGTGTGTGTACATGGACAGGAATGCCGGTGGTTCTCTCACAATATACGTCCATGAGAATGGTCCTGTGTGTGCGTGTATGTGTGTGTGTGTGTGTGTGTGTGTGTGTGTGTGTGTGTGTGTGTGTGTGTGTGTGTGTGTGTGTGTGTGTGTGTGTGTGTGTGTGAGAGAGAGAGTGAATATGTACTTTTACATTACAAATGCAATAGTCCATGGGAAAGACTGTGCAACGTTTACCTTTTAATGACATGCTCATTCTTGTTTTCTTTCTGTTCAATTTTTCAAACTATCTCACACACTCTGGTTTTCTCCCCTTCATCTGCCCTTCACTCACCCAGGTACATACATAAACAGTCTGATGCAAACGCACTGCCATAAAGGCACACACACACCCCGCGCTGGCTCCCAGCTTGAGGCCGTCGGGGTGTGTGTGCTTCCTGCTGGTGATGAGGTCATCACAAGTGAACAATGAGGGAGACCGGCATACAAACACAGGAAGTGGTGTCCAGACCCCCGCCCTGCACGCACGCACACACACACACATCATTCCAGCCACTCAACTTTACACCTAATACATCAAGACCGTGCTCATGTATAAACTCTCCTCTGCTAATGATGCTTAGGATGTGTATATACACACCACAGCAGTATCTACATGCATGTCAGAAAGCATGATGGATGTTTTTGAGGGTGGCCTTTGTCCAGTGCCGCCATGTCTAACGTTCCCTTTTTCAGCCCCTTTGGTATCTCAAAGTGACCTTCAATGTTTCTCACCCTCTCTGTCTGTCTTGTGTCCTCCAGGCTGGTCTGGTGTCCCGCGACTGTCCTGAGCAGCTCCTCATCGCACTGGAGCCCGAAGCTGCGTCCATCTACTGCCGTAAGCTCCGCCTCCACCAGGTGCTCGACCTGAGCTTGCAGCCGATCGCGAATGGCTTTGATCTGGAAGGGTCGCGGCCCTTTGACTCCAGCTTCAGACAAGGTAGTGAAGAGAGAATGTGTGTTTCTGTGTGTATACTTATACTTTATGTGTGTGTGTGTGTGTGTGTGTGTGTGTGTGTGTGTGTGTGTGTGTGTGTTTTGTAGACGTGTCATGAGCATAAGCATGAAACCACAATGTGTTCCTGGAAATGGATTGTGGTTTCATACAAAGGAGCGGCTCGTTTGTTTGTGTGTGAGATCTGACAACATATACTACTTGTGGCTTTTCCTCAGATGACCTGGTTCTTTTCCGGATTGTGCGGTTATTCTATTTCTAATATGTGGTTGGTGTTAGTGTGGCTTTTCAATGAAATATTGCAAAGATATTTTTGGGACATCAAGGCTGATTCGCTGCATAGACGATGCATGTGAGAGCAGAGTATTGGCCATTGGAACTCTTCTGCGTCAATCATCAAAGACGAGAAGCCGAGCTTCAAAATATCTGGTTCTTTGATGAAAAGTCCAAAGCGGGAACATGTGCACATAAATATACGAGGAGAGAACTTAACTGTGATTCAAGCTGTAAATACAACACTGGCTTGTTATCACCACATAAGATTGATTTGGCCAACGTGTATGCAGAAAGTTCCTCTATGTACACACCCAGAATATACAACGCAAAATCAGCATTTGAAGTGGGGTTTTTCGCTATCCAAATAATGTAAGTCCCGCCCCATTTAGCTCTAAGTGCTCCACTGTGTGTTACCTATCGGTCATTTGGTTCTAGGCTTTGCGTGCAGAGGGTTTGTCGGTGCTTTTTTTTTGTGCACAAAAAAAGTGTTCTGTTGAGTCTGAAAAGCTCCCTGATAAAAAGCAGTGAGAGTAAACTTAAAACCAGAAAACTAAACCCTCCATAGAGGTAAGAGGAACCTGCCTCTGTAGGATTTGGTTACAAGCGACTTCTTTTACATTACAGCGGATTTAGAAATGTCGAATAGCAGCTCCAGTTGAGGGAAACATTTCCAGAACCAGAAACCCTTTGCAACTTTTCAAAAATAGACCATGGACTAAGTGGAAACATGACATTTTGTCACGACTACACTAGAGCTGCAGGGAAAACAGTTGTGTCTGAAGCAGCAACAGGAAAATGCTGCTAATTTGCAGCAAAGGGCAAAGAGGAAGATTGATGCATAATTCAGCGAACAAACACGCGGTCCAAACTCCCCCGCACGGGCCCGCTTACAGACATGCGGTGAACGCCACGCACACAGAGAACACACACACACACACGTACGGCGACACACACTAGGCTCAGGATATTGTAATTGGAACAAGGTGCGGTGAGACTATGATCTCACCCCCTCCCGGTCTGTCATTCTCCCTCTCCTTCACTCGCGTTCATTTCTCTTTCTTTTCCTCCCGTCTGTTAAACATTCCCTCCCCCTCCGACTTTCTACTTGCCAGGTCGCACACTGTGCAAGGACACGGGCAACCGCACAAACAGGCAGACAGTATTTACACACACACACACACATGCACACTTGGCATCACGGTCGTCATGACTTTTACTATCTTTAGCTTCTATTCCAGCTCATTTCGGCTCCAAAGAAGCACACGGGAGTCGTAAACTGTCTCACACACACACACACACACACACACACACACACACATGCACATGCACTTTCTTTTCTGCTGTTTCATGTCAATGGTTTCCAGACCTGCATTTCATTCATCACCCCCATTGAAAGACACACACACACACACTCACACACACTTACTGACTTACATTACCTCCTGAGGCTTAACCGTAGTGTTTGCTTTCAACACAATGTAGTCGTTGTTGCTCGATAATTGCCTTGTAATAAACACACACACACAATGACATCAAGCCTCCCCATAACCAAGGCTATGAGTTTGTGTTATTAAAAGCCAGACAGAAGAAATATGACTTTTTTTTCCAATGACCCTCTTTCGCTCCTTTGATATTTGTCCCGTTAAAGGCCGTCATGTCTCATTTCATGGTTTACTTGTGCTCGTATCTGTCAAAGAGGCTTTTAGGTGTTTTGTATTTCTGCCCAATTTGTTTCGGGCGTGTTCTGCTTTCTTTGGCTTCCATCCATGCTGCCAGTTGGGTAGATTACCCTGCTAAGTTGTGAGGGCATTTCAAAAATTACTTTTGCAATGAGAAAACGTCAGGACTTTTTTCGTATTTTCGTATTTTACTTATATACCAAATGCGTCATGACTTATGGAACTTGACTAAAACTCGTAGCATAAACTAACAAATTTATCTTCATTGGGATAAAAATGTATTCTTCTGCTTGAGCCAGAATTTGTTAAGCATCAGTTTAGCGAAAGCTGAACCTATATGTTTTCACAGAAAGACAAGAAATGTTTGAATGCGAGCAGAGCAAGGTGGTGAAAAGGTGACGACGCCTCCTGGGCCCCACAGCTTGAGAGAGTCCATATACATTCTTGTTGAATTGTTTATACTAAGAAAAGAGGGCCCCGCAGCAACATTTCAGGGGTACAAGAACCTCTGCTTGGCCCTCTGGGACCTAGAAATGCTTCCTATGCTGCTGAAGAACTGGAGAACTGCACACCTTTAAAAACGGCTTTGCTGGAAACACATTTTACTTGTGCCACTTGTGTCCTGACTAAAATACTAACAAATTGTAGCACTTAAATTGTACTTATCTATAGCAAATTGTAATTTGGCTTATTTGATGAAATTGCACTTTCCCTTTGGATAAAAGGGTCGGCTAAATGACATGTAATGTAATGTAACTAATGTCTTACTGTGACTTTTTGACCTAATTTAATGACACTATTTCCAACGTGTGTGTAAAAATCAAAGCACGTTGTGTAGCTGTGCGTGTTCAGCTTTGTGTTGGCCCGTTGCAGCGAGGGAGCAACTGAGGCGGTCGAGACACAGCAGGACCTTCCTGGTGGAGAGTGGAACCGGAGAGCTGTGGTCTGAGCTACAGACTGGTAAGAGCTACAGAGTGTGTGTGTGTGTGTGTGTGTGTGTGTGTGTGTGTGTGTGTGTGTGTGTGTGTGTGTGTGTGTGTGTGTGTGTGTGAGTGCCCCGACCGCCTGTGTCCACGGGTTTAAAAGAAAGACACACACCCCCCTACATGTGAGGATATTGTGTTGTGTTTTCTCTTTACACCCCGTTTGTGTAGATTTGGGGCAGCACCCCCCCCCCTCCCCTCTCCCTCATGTCTAATCACTCTCGGTTACTTTTTGAGCACTCACGTGTGTCTCCCCTTTTTCCCCCCCATAGAGAAAATTTTACAGTGTTGTGAGAGTGAAATCCAAATACCGCATGTCCAAATCCCGCAAGAATAAACTAATGCAAGAACACGGTCCTTATAATATATGTCATTTTTTGTGTTCAGTTTTGCGTGAGATTATAAAATCCTACAGGGGGACAAGTAAAGGAGCCTATAGTGGGGCCTATACATAGAGTATTTTTCTTTTTGTTGAAACATGACAACTATCTGAAGAGCCACGCGCCCCTCGCTGACTCTTTCTACTCCATTTCCTGTCCACACACACACACACACACACACACACACACACACACACACACATGAAGGACACTCCCCATCTGCACTTAAGGCTGTGCTGGTTGAATAGTTCAGGGGAGAAAACCAAATACACACACATCTACACATGAAGCAGCATATTACTCCTGCAAATTGGGTTGAGGCGGCATGTTCCTGCAGCTGAGTAAAGTATTTCCTGGCTCTGAGTTGTGCGTGTTTCTGCACTCTTTGTGCAGGTGACAGGTACATTGTTGCAGACTGCGGAGGAGGAACAGTTGACCTGACAGTCCATCAAATCGAGCAGCCGCAGGGAACCCTCAAAGAGCTCTACAAGGCTTCAGGTACAAACATTCACAATCAGCCAGAACACATCAAAGTGCAGGTTTCCAAACGTCCTCTTCCTTCCAGGCGGTCCGCACGGCGCCGTGGGAGTGGACCTGGCCTTCGAAGCCATGCTGTGCCAGATCTTCGGCGAGGACTTCATCCTGAGCTTCAAGGCCAAGCGGCCGGCGGCCTGGGTGGACCTCACCATCGCGTTCGAGGCGAGGAAACGGACGGCGGCGCCAGGCAGGGCCAACGCCCTCAACATCTCCCTGCCCTTCTCCTTCATCGACTTCTACAAGAGACACAAGGGGCAGAGCGTGGAGGCCGCCCTGAGGAGGAGCAAGTGAGCGCCGGCGGCGTGCGATCAAACAACGGATAGATTTTGGTTACGCGGTAACACTGAAGATGCAAACTCTCTCTCGCTCTCTCGTGTGTGTGTGTGTGTGTGTGCGTGCTTGTTGTGCGTGCGTCAGTATGAACATCGTGAAGTGGTCGTCCCAGGGGATGTTGCGGCTGACACAGGAAGCCATGAACGAGCTCTTCCAGCCCACCATTGACAAAATCGTCAAACACATCGGTGAGAAACGCACAAACGTGCCTTGACGTAGAGACCCCCACCCCTCCCCTCCCCCCGAGAGAGTGTGCATCGTCAACCTCTCCTCCCCCCTCACAGAGGAGCTGATGGCGAAGCCGGAGGTGTGCGGCGTGCGTTTCCTCTTCCTGGTGGGCGGTTTCGCGGAGTCGCCCATGCTGCAGAGAGCAGTCCAGAGGGCGGTGGGGCGGACGTGTCGCATCATCATCCCCCACGACGTCGGGCTGACCATACTGAAGGGCGCCGTGCTCTTCGGGCTGGATCCCACTGTGGTGGGTGCTCGGGATCGCCTGCTGGTGGCGGAGCAGCTCCTGAACGTCTTTTTAACAGCCCCTCTCTCTCTCTCTCTCGCAGGTCAGAGTGCGCCGGTGCCCCCTGATCTACGGCGTCGGCGTCTTGAACCGCTTCGTGGAGGGGCGCCACCCTCGCGACAAGCTCCTCGTCAAGGAGGGCCGCGAGTGGTGCACCGACATCCTCGACCGCTTCGTGTGCATCGACCAGTCGGTGGCCCTGGGCGAGGTGGTGAGGCGGAGCTACACGCCGGCTCGCCTGGGCCAGCGGAAGATCATCATCAACATCTACTGCAGCTCGGCGGAGGACGTCGCCTACATCACCGACCCCGGGGTCAGGAAGTGCGGGACGATAACTTTGGACCTACCGGAACCGCTCCCAGTGCCGGGGGGAGCGGGAGCAGGAGGGGGGGCGGGCCCAGAGAGGAGAGAGATCAGGGCGACCATGCAGTTCGGAGACACGGAGATCAAAGTCACGGCCGTGGACGTCATGTCTAACCGCTTCGTCCGGGCTTCCATTGACTTCCTGTCCAACTGAGGAGGAGCAGGAAGTAGAGACGAGGATTGGAAAAACACAGGGGGGGGGGAAAAAAAACTGATTCTAGGGATGATAACTGTAGAGAAAAAAAAGCGGTACTTTGGGGCGTCGGCTTTGCATTCTAAGAAGGAAACTGATATCCTGGTGTGCCGACATTTATGCAACTTTTTTATTCATTACAGTAGTAAAATAAGATTAACTCTGACTTAAAAAAGAAAAAAGAAAACATGTCAGCATGTTCTCAACTGAAGGAGAGGGCGCCCTAAGTACCCCCATCAAAAGAAGACGCCACTCAGTGTCACGTGACGCCACACGCAGAGCTCATGCCAGCAGGTGGCTGAGATGCAATATTCCCACTTTCCGTGGTGTATTTCAGCTATTAGACTACCTAACGTGAGAATCACTCATCTTATTAGTTAAACATGGTGGCTGCTGCCCCCCATGCAACGAATTACACAAGGATGTGTCACAGCATCATTTCGATCCCATTTCACACTCCATTTACAGATATTGATAGAACCAGGTTGCCTGCAGCCGTTCCCCCCTTGTGAATACGTCCAGGCTCGACCTGGTGGTGAAAAGACAGAACTTCCTACAGGCTGTGGGTCAAACGGCCTATTTAAACTTTGTGTTAAAAACCCTGGGAAGGGACGCGGCATTGTTGCTTATTTCTCATTGAGTACGTCACCATTCTGGTGTAATGTTTGGGACGGTTGATTGTAAATCAGGGTAAGAGCACCATCCGTATAATAAGCTATTTTACCAGATTATACTTTATTATTCACATACAATGGGAGTGGACTTCCTTGCCTTCCTGCTGCATCCTTGTCTTTCTCAGCAGATAGAAGGCTCAGTTATTATGGAGGATGACTCAGTTGTTAATCAACTGAGGAACCAGTTTGATGCATTTAAAATGTAATGATAAAGTACAGCTTTAGGTATTTTGTCTAATTGTGGTCATCATTTTCACACTTTAACAGATGCCGTCATCACATTTAAAGCTTGCCTTTGTTGTAATAAACTGTATTCATGTTAGATTATCAGCCACTGTATCATGCTCACCCAGCCTTGCTTCTCCTGTGCAGGTTGCAAAGTGAGAAGATTAATTCTCATTGTGTAATTAACAGCCTTAATGTATTATTTAACCACAGCAATACTAGGTCAGAAAACTATTCCTACTCCATCCTTCAGCAGATAACACACACATGGCAACAGTAAAATGTGCGATCTCAGCTGTGAATTTATTGATGACAATGGTCAGATAAATAGGTTTACACAGCCAAAACAATGAATGGTTCAGAACCGCTCAACATCCCAGTGCTCAGTGCTTTACTTCCCATGTTACACGTTCGTTTGTCACATAACAAATTACAGATGACGGAAGAGTCAGAGAAGAGCAAAGTCTAAAGGTACAGGAGTGCGTTTAGTTCAGAACCAAAGGGGGACTAATTCCATTCTTCTTGCATTTCTATTTTATTTCGCCGTAATTCAGCTACACGTGGAAAGATGGAAGGCTCGAAATGTTGACCATACCAAGTGAATGTTTAAGAAAAACACACGCAACATAGAAAAGAAATAAGCCACCTTCGACAAAATCTAAAGAATTGGTCTTGAAATTGACAGATGAACTTCTTATCCCCCCCCTTTTATCTTTTTCAATCGTTTTGCCAGTTGCAGTGCATCTGTGACTGTTTACAACACCTACCTAGAATTAAAATCCATATGCAGGTCAAACGTGCAGAGTCACATTCAACATGCATCTATGTATAAATGTGACCCAAACAGTATTAAAAAGACATCTGCATTTGGATTTGAATGCCAGTTCAAAATTAGGTTTAGCAGTCGCCCCGCCTAGTGGGCATGGGGTCTCCCGCGGCCTCTGCCCCTGCCACCGCCGGGAGGGCCGTCCATACTGCTGCGTGGGTTCTTGATCGTCTCGTCCACAGACAGGATGAGGCAAGCTGCCTCGGACGCCGCTGTCAGAGCGTTGATTCTCACGATGGAGGGCTCCCACACGCAGGCAGCAAAGTTGTCTGCAATGTCCTCGTTGTTGATGTCCACGCCGTACCACATACCGCCCTGCAGGGAGACGACACATGAAGCATGCATTTAGTTTCCGCCCATTGAAGCCCAACGGAGCGTTCCTATGCTAAGCAGTTTGTTTTAAAGTCCCGAGTGGGACTGGGTGGGTGTGTGCGTTTCATCCTCCGAACCTGTGCATGTTTGGCCCGCAGTTTGTTGAGGATGTTGGTGGCGTCGAAGCCGGCGTTGTCACACAGCTGTCTGGGGATGATCTCCAGGGCCTTTGCGTAGACTCCAATCAGCAGCTGCTGCTTCCCGGGGATGGTTCTGGAATAATCCCGCAGGTACTTGGACAGCTCCATCTCTATGGCTCCTCCCCCCGCGACGATGGAGTCATTCTGGAAATGGGTAAAGAACAGTTAGCCTTTTACCATCAGTTCGCCCGGATGGGCAGACAAATCAAAACGTGTCAAACGGTCCTTTTATATGACAGACACTTTGTAGAAGGTGTATTTGGTAACATTAACAACGGCTTTGTTCCATAAAGTGTCACAGTAGACGGCGAGATAGCATGAGCAATACCAGGACTTCCACTGAGTGGAATAAAGCCATCATTTAGGTTATTAAATACTACTGTGGTGCTATACAAAATCTGATTCTAATTTTAGGGAAGATTAAGTAATTAAAAATAAACCAGACTGAACAACCTGAAGTCACTCTGATTTTGCTTTTTTGTGAGCCCTCAATCATAGAACATGCAGACGAATCAATGGACTGAACAGCAGCACAATGCAGTTAATAAATACGAACTAATCAAATACGGCTACATGCTGGGAGTTACGACCCATTGGATGACTGACCTTGATGGCTCTGCGTACAATCATGATGGCGTCATGCAGAGATCGCTCAGTCTCCTCCGTGAACTGCTCGGCTCCGCCCCTCAGAATGATAGTGCACGTCTTCGCCTTAGGACAGCCCTTAAAGATGTTATACCTGCCGACAGACGTGGGTGTGAGCCGGTGCAGAGTTCTGGTTCATGCAATGGTCACCTACAAGTTTACGGTGTTATCTTACCTCTCTCCTCCAACCTGGACCTCCTCGAAGACTTCACACTGTCCCAGGACGCTGTCGGTCAGGTTACTCACGGAGGTCTGGATGGAGCCCCCGCAGGCCTGGAGGACACAATACACACAATCAATGTTTCAGTGAATTATAAAAACACACTGGGTGGATTAAACAATAACATACACATTTTTCCCACCACAGTATATAAAATAACTGTACCCGTCAAAATATTACATTTGGCTTTCCTTGTGAATTAACAGATAGACAGCTGAAAGCTAAAACTATGTAAACAAACATTCACTGGAGGTTTTCTAGTCATCTCTTGTCATCTTTAAGAATGCACATGTATGGTTTTAAATATGCGTCTGTCCATTTCATACCATCATGGTCCTCTTCAGATCCTCTTCCTGCACCCTGCCGGCACAGAACAGGTCCCTGTCAGCGAAGTACTGGGTGGCCACGTCGCCGATGGGTAACTTGGACAAAACCACCTTGGCTCCTGACTGGTGGATCTTGTCCAGTTTGTCGTACAGAATGTTCCACTCTGCGTCCACAATGGCCTGGTAATCCTGCATAAAAAAAAGGGGGGGGGGGGGGGGGGGAAAAACGGGTTAAGCTCTTTTACAAGAAGAAGAATTTTCCAAAATGCCCGGGAGCTTATTCCCCTCCCGAGGTTCTTTGATGCATCTTCATACCTCCACACAGTTCACGCGGACCTCAGCGTTATCCTTCTCGGCCTTCAGCTCCAGCTCCACATTGAGCAGAGCAATCTTTGGATTATTATAGGTTTTAGGCTGCATCTCAAACCCGGCATAAGAGAAGGTCTTCTTAAATGCAACCCCAGAGACCATATGGGAATCCTGTAAAGATCAAATAAAAGAAAGCGTGACCTGGTGAATTTAAAATTGTAAAGAAGCACAGAACGTTGACCTCATACTGCACATTCAGAGGCAAGTTTCGTTTAAGTGGGAGCAAAAGAAAAACATACAAACCTCAAGGGCTCCTCCCTGGACCTTCTTGATGCCAATCATCTTCAGAGACAGCAGCTCGTCCAGAGACATGACAGCGTCCACCACCATTTTGGAGAAGAACTCCTTTTGGCCGGCAATCAGCTTGGAGTTCAGGGCTGTGGCGGCACACTTCTCCAGCAACTGCCTCTGCTCCCTGAGGGGATGACGCGGTAGATTTAAAAATGCACAACTAGACCAGCTTTTAAAAGCCAAATTTAACTAAAAACTCAAGAATACAACATCACTTTACTGCCAAACCCAAAATGCTGTCTGCCGTGGAAATAACTTTAAGAAGTGAGCGCTTACTGCTTGTCGTCTTTCTTGACAGAGACGGAGATCTCCTTGATCTTGTTGACAGCGAGTTGGGTGGCAGTGCGGAAGGCCCTGATGATGGTCTGGGGGTGGAGACCGTCCTCCACGTACGACTTAAGCTGCTTCAAGAACTCAGCAGCCAGGAGAGTGACGGAGGTGGTGCCGTCCCCGACCTGAGGATGGTAAAACACAGAAGATTATAGAAGACATATTGTACGACGTTTTGACCAGAAGGGAATGGAATCAAAACGACCCGCCAGTTATCATAAACGCCTTGAACGGTAAAAAGAAACCCTGCTCACCTCGGCATCCTGGGAGCGAGCGATGTCCACCAGGGTCTTGGCCGCGGGGTGAACCACATCCAGCAGTTTCAGGATAGTGGCACCATCATTGGAGATTGTGGCCTTACCTGGAAAACACAATCCAATCACAGTTTTGTTGAGGGTGACTTCAAGCCGTGCTCTGCTCTGCTCCTTCTGTCCAAAACCTACACCTCTCTCCTCACCTCTGCTATCCACCATCAGTTTGTCCATCCCCCTGGGCCCAAGGGTGGTCCTGACGGCCTCAGCAATCACCTGGAAAAGACGACCCAACGGCAGCATTTTAACAACTTTAGACAATATTTGCCACACACACAATTTCAGAAAAGATACACAAACAAAACCAAGGGGGATCTTGGTGTTTTCTCACCTGGCAGGCATTGATGTTACTGACGAGCTGGGGAACGCCCTGAGACGAGTCCGTCCCTTCCTTCAGAAGGATAACCTGTGCGGGCTGAATACAGGGATTTGGGGTGAAAGAAGAAGTGGTTAAAAGAGGAAGAGAAACATGCAGTGACAGAGGGTAGAGGAAAGGACAGGGACTAAATGGTATTCTGAAGTAGTTAAGTAGAATACGGGATCACTGCTAGCACACCAGGGCCTTTCTATGAAGATCACACAATACAGAATATATCGGTTTCACAGAAGGAACCTTGACTGGGACAAAGTTCTGTTTTATTAGAAATGTAAAAAATCTGAACTACGTCAGTGTGATTTTATAAAATAATCAAGACTCAAAAATGATCTTGTTCTAATTAAAACTATCCAAAATGAATGTTTGAACGTATAAAGCAACTTAACCCAATGAAGAACGCTGCTCTTATTTTACCAGAAGATCTATAAAATGATTTACTATCATAAAAAACAGCTAAATCCCTCAATATCAAGTCAGTTACTTTACTATCTTAGGCTATAACACGGAAAACAGTTGAGCATCCATAGTGTGGCAGCTCCTGCTGCAGCAAGGTGTGATGCTTTTGTTTCCCCTCAGACACGCTGTGTGACACTGTCAAACGCCGGATGTCTGTTTGCTATCCGCTCACATTACTGCAGCAGGCTCAATGCCATAAAATCCTATTATGTCTGCGAATACACGGTTTTCTGATCAATTGTTAACAACATATAGTAAAAAAGTACCGCTAACAACTCTGGCTAGTCTTTAAAATACTCTGCATCACTCCGCTTCACTCTGTCCCGCGTCCCAAATCTCTGGAAAGATACAAATGCTGAATGACATTTCGAGCAATACAAGAAAGTTAACGCCATTCGGTGAGGTTTTCAGCGTGACAGAGCGGTTACAGATGGGTA